ACCACACCTGGCTAATTTTTTATATTTTTAGTGGAGACGGGCTTTCACCATGCTAGACAGAATGGTCTCGATCTCCTGACCTTCTGATCCGCCCGCCTCGGCCTCCCAGAGTGCTGGATTACAGGTGTGAGCCACTGCGCCTGGCCTTTTTTTTTCTTTTTTTTTTTTTAAGGACATTATAATGTAGCATTTGGGATGTATTGGGTATAGAGCTGGCCAAAATAGTAGGAGATCAGAAAAGCTGCATATTTAAAAAGCACAGAATAACCAGATTGACTTGGAGAGTGTATCAGCTTAATTTGGAAGAACTCTAGGGGATCTTAATGATTCTTCTTAATTTTTTTTTTTTTTTTTTGAGACGGAGTTTTGCTCTTGTTGCCCAGGCTGGAGTGCAATAGTGCGATCTCGGCTCACCGCAACCTCTGCCTCCCGGGTTCAATCACTTCTTCTGCCTCAGCCTCCCTAGTAGCTGGGATTACAGGTGCCACCATGCCTGGCCAATGTTTTGTGTTTTTATTAGAGATGGGGTTTCTCCCTGTTTGTCAGGCTGGTCTCGAACTCTCAACCTTAGGTGATCTGCCCGCCTCAGCCTCCCAAAGTGCTGGGATTGCAGGTGTGAGCCACAGCACCTGGCCTTAATTTTTGTATTTTTAGTAGAGACTGGGTTTCACCATGTTGGCCAGGCTGGTCTTAAACTCCTGACCTCAAGTGATCCACCTGCCTCATCCTCCCAAAGTGCTGGGATTATAGGCTTGAGCCACTGTGCCCAGCTGATTGATTATTTGCCTGCCCCTCCCTCTGTCCCTCTCCCCGCCACCTCTCTGTGTCTCTGTCGCGTTCTCTCTCTCTCTCTCTCTCTCTCTACCCCTGTGTGTGTGTGTGTAATTATTTGGTTAAAGGGTCTCACTTTGTCATCCAGGCTGAAGTGCAGTGGTGTGGTCACAGCTCATTGTAACCTCAACTTCCCAGGCTCAAGCAACCCATTTACCTCAGCCTCCTGAGTTGCTGGGGCCACAGGCATGTGCCGCCACACATGGTTCATTTTTGTTTTATAGTTTATTTTATTTTATAGATGAGGTTTCGCTATGTTGCGCAGGATGGTCTTGAACTACTGGTCTCGTGATCCTGCCTCGTTGGCCTCCCAAAGTGCGGGTTTTATAGGCCTGAGCCACTGTACCTGGCCTATTTATTTTTTTAAATTTTATTTATATTTAATTATGTTCTAATATCTATGACAAAATATACCATTTTAATGATTTTCATTTGTTTTTTGAGATAGGGTCTCACTCTATTACAGTGGTGTGACGTCAGCTCACTTCAACCTCCGCCTGCCAGGTTCAAGTGATTTTCCCACATCAGCCTTCCAAGTAGCTGGGACTACAGGCGCCTGCCACCTCGCCCTGCTAATTTTTGTATTTTTTGGTAGAGATGGGATTTCACCATGTTGGCCACTCTTGTCCCGAACTTCTGACATCAAGTGATCTAAGGGATCTTAATGATTCTTAATTTTTTTTGAGACGGAGTGTTGCTCTTGTTGCCCAGGCTGGAGTGCAATGGCATGATCTCAGCTCACTGCAACCTCTGCCTCCCTTGCTTAAGTGATTCTCCCACCTTAGCCTCCCAACTCGATCTCCCAAAGCGCTGGGATTACAGGATACTTTTTATTTTTTATTTATTACTATTTTTTTTTTTTAACAGAGGTGGGGTCTCACTATGTTGTCCAGGTTGGTCTTCTACTCTTGGGCTCAAGTGATCCTCCTGCCTCAGCCTCCCAAAGGTTTGGGATTATGGGATGGAGAAACTATGCTCACTTCTGTATGTATTAAACAATGACTTCCATTCCTTGTCCCTCTTTCCTTGGCAACCACCATTCTGCTTTTTGTCTCTTTTTTTAATGTTTGATACCATGTGGTTCTTTGTAGTATATTATTTTGTAGTAATAGTTTTTAAAGAAAAAAATGCATGGGTGTTTCTAATAACACTTCATCCTATTTCGCCTATCTGATGCTCAGTTTATATTGCTTATACCTTCATAATGTGGAAATTATTCACCATTTCATTTAATTTGAGCTATATTTTTAATCCATAAAGCACAGATCTCTTGAATTGTGGCATAGATTTTAGCTATTAGTTAAATATAGTTTTACATAGTTACACCACGTTTTTATGGTCATTAAAATATCATAATAGGCTAGGTGTGGTGGCTTATGCCGGTAATCCCAGCACTTTGGGAGGCCAAGGTGGGCGGATCACTTGAGGTCAAGAGTTTGAGATCAGCTTGGCCAATATGACAAAACTTTGTCTTTTAAATATGCAAAAACCAAAAAAAATTAGCTGGGCGTATTGGCACTCGCTTGTAATCCCAACTACGTGGGAGGCTGAGATATGAGAATTCCTTGAACCCGGGAGGCAGAGGCTGCAGTGAGCCATGATCACGTTGTTGTACTCCAGCCTGAGCGACACAGTTGAGAACCTGTCTCAGAAAAAAAAATAAGTATAATAAAAGTGTTCACTTACAATTTTTGTATAATTTATGTTTTTATTTTTATTTTTTTGTTGAGACAGTCTCACTATGTCGCCCAGGCTGGAGTGCAGTGGTGTGCTCTTGGCAACCTCTGCCTCCCGGGTTCAAGTGATTCTCCTGCCTCAGCCTCCCGAGTAGCTGGTATTACAGGCGCCCGCCACCACACCTAGGTAGTTGTTGTATTTTTAGTAGAGGTGGGGCTTCACCGTGTTGGCCATGCTGGTGGAAAACTCCTCACCTCACATGATCCACCCGCTTTGGCTTTCCAAAGTGCTGGGATTACAGGCGTGAACCACCACGCCTGGCCTAATTTTTGTATAATTTATAGTCAAGAATCTATAAGATGAAAAACTCTTACTATCTCTATATTTATTTTTTTGTTTCCTTTTTTTTTTCTTGTGGCAAAGTTTCACTTCCTTGCCCAGGCTGGCCTCAGAACTCCTGTCTTCAAGCACTCCTCTCTTCCTCCCTGCCGCCTTTCTCAGCCAGGGTACTGGGGTTATAGGTGTTTTCTTTTGGAACATTTTGATTTACCTTTTTTATTAAAAAAAATTTTTTTGAGATAAGGTCACACTCTGTCACTCAGCCTGGATTTGTCACCATCACAGTTCCCTATAGCTCAACTTCCCATACTCATGCAATCCTCCCACCTCAGCCTCCTGCGTAGGTGGGACACTACAGGCATGTGCCACCATGCCCAGCTAATTTTTATATTTATATTTATATTTATATTTATATTTGTATTTGTATTTGTATTTGTATTTGTATTTTTTTGAGACAAGTTCTGGCTTTGTTGCCCAGGCTGGAGTATAATGGCGTGGTCTCAGGTCACTCCAACCTTTGCCTCCCAGGTTCAAGCCATCCTCCTACCTCAGCCTCCCAGTAGCTGGGACTACAGGCACACTCCCCCCATGCCTGGGTAATTTCTTTTGCATTTTTTGTTGAGACAGGGTTTCACCATGTTGCCCAGGCTGGTCTTGAACTCCTGTGCTAAAGCCATCTGCCCGCCTCGGCCTGCCAAATGCTGGGATTAAACTTTTTGTAGAGGTGGGATCTCACTGTGTTGCCCAAGCTGGTCTCAGACTCCTGCGCTCAAGTGATTCTTTCAACCTTGGTGTCTCAAAATGTTAGAATTACTGGTGTGTAGCTAGGCGCGATGGCTCACGCCTGTAATCACAGCACTTTGGGAGGCTGAGGCGGGCAGATCACTTGAGGTCAGGAGTTCGAGACCAGCCTGGCCAACATAGAGAAACCCTGTCTCTACTAAAAATACAAAATTAGCCGAGCGTGGTCACGCATGCCTGTAATCCCAGCTATTTAGGAGGCTGAGGCAAGAGAATCACTTGAACCTGGGAGGCAGAGGTTGCAGTGAGCCGAGATAGCACCATTGCACTCCAGCCTGGGCAACAAAAGCGAAACCCTGTCTCAGAAAAAACAACAACAACAACAAACTGCTCCTGGCCTAAATTTAGCTTTTTAAAATCTTTCTTTTGACAGACTATTTACTCAAATTATAGTATGTTTATGGAATTTAAAAGGAATTCTTTTGGGAGGGATATGAGGTCTTGCTATACTGTCTAGGCTGGTTTTGAATTCCTGTGCTCAAGTGATTCTTTCATCTCAGCCTCCCAAGTAGCTGTGACTATAGGTGTGAGCCACTGTACTTGCTACCAGAAAGTAGTTTGAATTCAGTTTATTTTATTTCATTCCATTTTTTTTTTTTTTTTGAGACGGAGTCATGCTCTGTCGCCCAGGCTGGAGTGCAGTGGCCGGATCTCAGCTCACTGCAAGCTCCGCCTCCCGGGTACACGCCATTCTCCTGCCTCAGCCTCCCAAGTAGCTGGGACTACAGGCGCCCGCCACTTCGCCCGGCTAGTTTTTTGTATTTTTTAGTAGAGACAGGGTTTCACCGTGTTAGCCAGGATGGTCTCGATCTCCTGACCTCATGATCCACCCGTCTCGGCCTCCCAAAGTGCTGGGATTACAGGCTTGAGCCACCGCGCCCGGCCCATTCCATTTTTCTTGAGACCGCATCTCACTCTGTCGTCCAGGCTGGAGTGCAGTAGGGCGATCAGGGCTCACTGCAGGCTCAACCTCTCAGACTCAAGTGATCTTCCCACCCCAGCCTCCTGGATAGGATTACAGGCATGTGCCACAATGCACAGCTAATTTTTAAATTTTTTTTCTAGAGACTGAATCTCCCTGTGTTGCCAGACTGGTCTTGAACTCCTGGGCTCAAGTGATCCTCCTGCCTTATGCTCCCAGAGTGTTGGGATTACAGGCATGAGCCTCCATGCCCAGCCTAATCGACTTTTAGAAAAACTTATTGATTCCTCAGTTTATTCAAGAAGATATTTAAGGAGGTTGTTTAATTAATATGTGTTTATATCTTTGAATTTATAAAACTTAGGATTCAGACATGAGTAATTTTGTCAGAAGCTTTATTTTTCTCACGTGTAATTTGTATCATTTTTAGGCAAAGTGTTTCATGGATTTCAAAGCTGGAGGCACCTTATGTCACATTCTTGGGTCTGCTTACAAGTATAAAAATGAACAGGGATGGTAAGTTTTTGTATTTGTTTGCATGTTTTGATCTTAAGTTATTTACTTTTAAGTCCTATTTCCTTGTGTTAGAAAATTCTGTAAGCACATTATGATTAATGTGTTTTACCAAGAGCCCTAATTTACCTTGTTTCTACATCCAAGAAAAATATCAACCAACCATGTATGTATTTACTTACTTATTTTTGAGACGGGGTCTTAAAAATAGGACCAAGGCTGTCAGCAAGGCTAGAAGTGCAGTGGTGCAATCTCAGGTCACTGCATCCTCCGCCTCTCAGATTTCGACCAATTCTCATGCCCCAGCCTCCTGAGTAGCTGGGACTACAGGCATGCACCACCATGCCTGGCTAATTTTTCTATTTTTAGTGGAAACAGGGTTTTGCCATGTTGTTCAGGCTGGTCTCGAACTCCTGGCCTCAAGCAATCCACCCACCTCAGCCTCCCAAAGTGCTGGGATTACAGGGATGAGCCTCTGCACCTGGCCACAACCATGTATTTATTAGGCAAGTGATTTCTTTTTTTTTTTTTTTTTTTTGAGACAGAGTCTCGCTCTGTCGCCCAGGCTGGAGTGCAGTGTCGTGATCTCAGCTCACTGCAAGCTCCACCTCCCGGGTTCACGCCATTCTACTGCCTCAGCCTCCCGAGTAGGTGGGACTACAGGCACCCACCACCACGCCTGGCTGATGTTTTATTATTTTTTGTATTTTTTCATTTTTAGCTAACATGGGGTTTCACCGTGTTAGCCAGGGTGGTCTTGATCTCCTGACCTCATGATCTGCCCGTCTCGGCCTCCCAAAGTGCTGGGATTACAGGTGTGAGCCACTGCGCCCAGTGTGATTTCTTATATTTGATTTTTATAGTAACAGGTATACATTATTAGCAAATTAGAAGGTAGGCTTGCCAGGAAATGTGTAAATGTGTATAATGAACTCATACATTATGTTTGAAGTGGATAGATAGTATTTTTGTTTGTTTTGTTTTTTTGAGACTTAGTTGCGCTCTTTCACCCAGGCTGGAGTAAAGTGGTGCGATCTTGGCTCACTGCAACCTTTGCCCCCAGGTTCGAGTGATTCTCCTGCCTCAGCCTCTTGAGTGACTGGGATTACAGGCACCTGCCACCATGCACCCAGCTAATTTTTGCATTTTTAGTAGAGATGGAGTTTCACCATGTTGGCCAGGCTGGTCTCAAACTCCTGACCTCAGGTGATCCACCTTCCTTGGCCTCCCAAGGTTCTAGGATTACAGGTGTGAGCCACCGTGCCTGGCCAGATAGCAGTTTTAAGAGATCAAGTTAGCTAGGCCTTCAAGTGTTCCATTTTGCTATCCTCAGGACAGTGATAAAAGGAGAAATACATATCTTTGCCTAGATCAGTGTTGGAGATAGATTGAGAATCCCTGCAGATGTTCCTGCCATTTTGCTCCCTTCAGTCTTTTCCCCTTTTCTAGCTGTCTGTCTTGGTACTATTTCTTTTTTTTCCCCTTGAACTCTGGGGTTTCCATCAGTTGCTGGGACTAGTGATGTTTGACGATGATGGTCCTGATCTGTGGGGTTGTCAGGGACATACTTCACAGGGTAGGGTTGGGGGAGTGGAGTATATTGTCTTGAAATTGTTTGGTATTTTCAGTTGAGTTAGCTGTGCACGTTTATAAGCTTAGCATCTTTCCAGGAGAATACACATGTAATTTATATATTTTACTTTCAAAGTTAAGCTAACCCCATACTTTATGGCTGGGAAGTGCAAATAAATATTTAGATCAACAATAAGGACAAGTGTGCAATTAAATTATTTATATAGTAAATAGGACATATAAACTAACATGTGTATTTACTGAAACTTTTTATATATGGATGGTGTTGAATAGATGTTGATTTGGATCACCTGAGGTCAGGAGTTCGGGTCCAGACTGGCCATCATGGCGAAACCCCGTCTCTACTAAAAATACAAAATAAATTAGCCAGACTTGGTGGTGGGCACTTGTAATCCCAGGTACTCACGTGGCTGAGACAGGAGAATCACTCGAACCCGGGAGACGGAGGTTGCAGTGAGCTGAGATTGCGCCACTGCACTCTTGCCTGGGCAACAGAGCAAGACTCTGTCTCAAAAAAAAAAAAGATATTGACTAAAAGCATGAGTCTTTTTTGTTTTTGTTTTCAGAGGTAGCTCTCTGTTTTCCAGTTCTGTGTCTAGCTCTGATGTTGGACCTCTCACGAGGGTATTATTCCCTGATCTAGGACCAACGGCATGTTTCAGTACTTGTAGAGATGGTTTGTTCCCTACTCTTGACTCTGGGTTCCCGGTTGGAACTCTTTCTGTCCCTGGTTCTTGTTCAGCTTCTATCACAAGTCCTGACCTGGACACTTAAGGACAGAATTCCAAAGTGATATGATTTTTCATAGGTCACGTATTGTGGAACTTGCTTTGTGTCTATAGTTTCTGCACAATGAAAAAAAAATTTTTTTTGAGACAGAATCTCGCTCTGTCACCCAGGCTGGAGTACAGTGGTGTAATCTCGGCTCACTGCAACCTCTACCTCCCGGGTTCAAGCGAATCTCCTGCCTCACCCTCCTGAGTAGCTGAGATTACAGGTGCCTGCCACCACACATGGCTAATTTTTGTATTTTTAGTAGAGACCGGGTTTCTCCATGTTGGCCAGGCTGGTCTTGAACTCCTGACCTCAGGTGATCTGCCTGCCTTGGCCTCCCAAAGTGCTAGGATTACAGGCTTGAGTCACCGTGCCCGGCCACAGTGAAATATTTTTATCTGAAATCACTTGCAGTAGTTTAGAAAGATATGTATAATACAGGTTGGGCGCAGTGGCTTGCACCTGTAATCCTAGCACTTTGGGAGGCCAGGGTGGTCTGATCACGAGATCAGGAGTCAGAGACCATCCTGGCCAACATAGTGAAACCTCGTCTCTACTAAAAATGCAAAAATTATCTGGGCATGGTGGCATGCGCCTGTAGTCCCAGCTACTTGGGAGGCTGAGGCAGGAGAATTGCTTGAACCCGGGAGGTGGAGGTTGCAGTGAGCCGGGATCGCACCACTGCATTCCAGCCTGTCAACAGAGCGAGACTCCGTCTCAAGAAAAAAAAGAGAGAGACACATATGTAATACGATTTCCTTAAAATTAAAAGTGGGGCTAAAAAAGACGTAAAGGATAGGGTTAGCATTGTCAGGAATAAGAATTTTTCCAAGTCTCTTATGCAGATTGTGCCACAATTATTTCCTTTCAGGTATAGTTATGTATCCAGTTTCAGTGTGTACCTTCTCTCATCTCTTGTGCCTCACACTTGAAGTGAGTGCATATGTTAGTAACTTCCCCACTCTGTTTGGATATCTGAATGCTGACCTGTCATTCTGACCATGCCCTGACTTGCCCCATGCCTAACATGCCTCTCAGAACCTTGTGTGTGTTCTTTAATTGAACCTCACAGTCTAGGTTGCATTTCTGGCTTTAGGTCCAAAGTTTGCTGGTTTCGTTATTATGGCAAGCACTATTTTCTTCTTATTTCATTGTGGTTCTGCTTTCTTACTGACTTCTCAGTAGTCTTTGTTTTAGTCGCTAATGGCATGAAGCTCTAATGTCATGCATATGAGGTTGAATGGGAATACCTGGTAATTACTAGCATATTTGTGAAGAGACTGTACATATTAATATTACAGAATTGGCCAGCTGTTGTGGCTCATGCCTGTAATCCCAGCACTTTGGGAGGCTGAGGTGGGCGGATTGCTTGAGCCCAGGAGTTTGAACCCAGCCCAGGCAACATGGGAAAACTCAGCCTCTACAAAAAGTAGAAAAATTAGCTGGGTATGGTGGCACATGCCTGTAGTCCCAGCTACTTGGGAGGCTGAGGTGGGAGGATCACTTGAGCCCAGGATGTAGAGGCTGCAGTGAACCAAGATTGCACCACTGCACTCCAGCCTGGGTGACAGAGACCCTGTGTCAAAAAAAAAAAAAAAAAAAGAGAAATTACAGAATTGAAATGTTAAGTTTGATCTTTCTGGATGTTTCTAAATAGGCAAAATCAATGAGTGTCTTATTAATGGTTTTTCTCCTGAAGGATAAAACTTTGTATAGATTTAAATTGTAGTTATATGTAACTGAAGGATAACAAGTTTGACCTATTCATGGAAATCCAAACAGATCTCCCAAAGGAGAGATTAAATACCAAGTTCAATTAAGTAATAGAGAATTGACTTTAGTGCCCACGTGCCCAGAGATTAGGATGTTGTTTATTTTTCCCTACAGTTCTAAAGAGATTGTTAAATTTTTTTTTTTTTTTGAGATGGAGTCTTGCTTTGTCACCCAGCGAGCTGGAACACTATCTTGAATTTACCAAGAATGTTTAAATTAAGTTTTGCTTTCTAATAATGCAGAAAGGTGTTCAAGCTTCAACCCGAAAGAGGAATGCAAATTAGAACTATAATCATTAGACCGGCGTGGTGGCTCACGCCTGTAATCCCAGCACTTTGGGAAGCCGAGGCGGGTGGATCACCTGAGGTCAGGAGTTGGAGACCGACCAGGCTGGCCAAAATGGTGAAACCTCGTCTCTACTAAGAATACAAAAAATTAGCCGGGTATCGTGGTGGGTGCCTGTAATCCCAGCTACTCGGGAGCCTGAGGCAGGAGAATCGCTTGAACCCGGGAGGTGGAGCTTGCAATGAGCCGAGATCTCACTGTTGCACTGCATCCTGGGCAACAAGCGTGAAACTCCCTGTCAATTAAAAAAAAAACCCACAAAAACTATAATCATTAAATATTTTAAAATCTATCGCAGATTGACAAAGATTAAAAGGTGAGGTAATGTAAAATAAAAATAAGTACATAGTTGGCTACTGAGAGGGAGAAAGCATAATACATTCTTAGTGGAACTATAAATGAATACCATTTTATTGAAAGATGATTTTGCCAGTTGTGTTACGTTTGTATTATGTTTCTTATTATTTCAAGTTGAGTATCTCTAATTCCTTACAAATCCATCTGACTAGTACTAGGTTCTAGAAGAATCCCATAGGAGGGCTCTAGAAAAAAAAAAACAACAAAATCAACTGGAAAGAGATATTCTTGCCCTATGTTATCACAGTCCTGTAGAGAAAAGCAAATAAATACATTTTCCTTTTCTGACTTTTTTTTTTTTTTTTTTTTTTGAGACAAGGTCTCGCTGTGTTGCCCAGGCTGGAGTGCAGTGGCATGATCTCGGCTTACTGCAAGCTCCGCCTCCCGGGTTCACGCCATTCTTCTACCTCAGCCTCCCGAGTAGCTGGGACTACAGGTGCCCGCCACCACGCCCGGCTAATTTTTTTGTATTTTTAGTAGAGATGGGGGTTTCACTGTGTTAGCCAGGATGGTCTTGATCTCCTGACCTTATGATCTGCCTGTCTCGGCCTCCCAAAGTGCTGGGATTACAGGCGTGAGCCACTGTGCCTGGCATTTTTTTTTTTTTTTTTTTTTTTTTGAGACCGAGTCTTGCTCTGTCGCCAGTACAGAGTGCATAGGCGCCATCTAAGCTCACTGCAACCTCCATCTCCCAGGTTCAAGCTATTCCCTTGCCTTAGCCTCCCAAGTAGCTGGGACTGTAGGTACACGCCACCATGCCTGGCTAATTATGTTTTAGTAGAGACAGGGTTTCACCATGTTGACCAAGATAGTCTCTTATTTCTCGCCCCCATGATCCGCCCGCATAGGCCTCCCAAAGTGCTGAGATTACAGGAGTGAGCCACTGCGTCCCGCCTTTCTGACTTTTTAAATCTTTGGCCATTTAAACTGTAAATGCAAGCTCTCAGTTGAGGGTTTACTCATTAATATAAAAGTCTTCTGCATTGTTTCCTTTTGTCAATCTACTGGGCAATATCTTGCTGTAGCCTTTCAATCTAAGGCAGTAAATATGCATTGTGTGTCAAAAGGAATTACGGGCTGGTGGGAAGCCAAGGTGAAAGGTTCGCTTGGGCCCAGGAGTTGGCGACCAGCCTGGGCAACATAGAGAAGCACTGTCTCTTGAAGAAATTTTAAAATACTACCCCAGAAAGGTAGCATGTACCTGTAGTTCAAGCTCCTCGGTAGGCTGAGCCGAGAGGACTGCTTGACCCCAGGAATGCAAGGCTACCTACAGTGAGCTATGACTGAACTGCTGCAGTCCAGCCTGGATGACAGAGCAAGAGTCTATTAAAATATATATATTAAATAAAAATAGAAAATTTAAAAAAAGTTCCTCTACTAACTGTATTCCTCCAGTTTTATTGCCTCTCGTGAGTATATTTAGGGCTACCTCTAGAAAATGGTCCAAATAGGGCCGGGCACGGTGGCTCACACCTGTAATCCCAGCACTTTGGGAGGCCAAGGTGGGTGGATCACGAGGTCAGAAGATCAAGACCATCCTGGCTAACATGGTGAAACCCCGTCTCTACTAAAATACAAAAAATTAGCTGGGCATGGTGGTGCATGCCTGTAGTCCCAGGTACTTGGGAGGCTGGGGCAGGGGAATCACTTGAACCTGGGAGGCGGAGGTTGCAGTGAGCCAAGATCACGCCACTGCACTCCAGCCTAGCAACAGAGCAAGACTAGCAAGACTCTGTCTTTAAAAAAGAAAGAAAGAAAGAAAGAAAATGGTCCGAATAAAAATAGTCTGTTTTTTTTTTTTTGAGACCGAGTGTCACTCTGTTGCTTAGGCTGGAGTGCAATGTTGCAGTCTGGCTCACTGCAAGCTCTGCCTCCTGGGTTCACACCATTCTCCTACTTCAGCCTCCTGAGTAGCTGGGCCTACAGTTGCTTGCCACCACGCCCAGCTAATTTTTTTTTGTATTTTTAGTAGAGACAGTGTTTCGCTGTTAGCCAGGATAGTCTTGATCTCCTGACCTCGTGATCCGCCCACCTCGGCCTCCCAAAGTGCTGGAATTACAGGCGTGAGCCACTGTGCCCAGCCTAATCAGACTCTTTAACACTGGATGGATCCCAGGTGAAGAGTTTATTCCATAGAAGTTGTGTAAAAGGGCTTCAGAAGGAAACTTCTAAAGGGAAAAACAAAAATGCACTGAGCCAAGCGCAAGACAACAATACAGCCAAACAGTTTTGTGGGGAAGTTGCTAAAGCCGGTCTCAAATAAGGAGCTTTGTATGATGACAGCAAGCTAGACTACCCTGGAGACCATCCCCACAGGATGGTCTAGTATCCTGTACCCCAAAAAGGGTGGCAAACATCCTAGTAGGATCAGGTGTGGTAGCTCACACCTATAATCCGAGCACTTTGGGAGGCTGAGGCAGAAGAATCACTTAAGGCCAGAAGTTCAAGACTAACCTAGCCAACATAGCAAGACCCCATCTTTATTAAAGAAAGAAGAAAAGAAAAAAACATGAAAGATGGCCAGGTGTGGTGGCTCACATCTGTAATTCCAGCACTTTGGGAGACCGAAGCATGTGATCACCTGAGGTCAGGAGTTCGAGTTCAGCCTGGCTGACATGGTGAAACTCTGTCTCTACTAAAAATACAAAATAACTGGGTGTCATGGAGCATGCCTGTAATCCCAGCTACTCGGGAGGCTGAGGCAGGAGAATCGCTTGAATCCAGGAAGCAGAGGTTGTGGTAAATCGAGATCACACCACTGCATTCCAGCCTGGGCAACAGAGTGGGACTCCATTTAAAACAACAACAACATAGAAGATAGGCTTAGCTTCATAGAGCAAGTGACTTGGGGACTGATTCTGGAAGTGATAGTGTCAGGCCCATTGAGTGGGTAGTAACATCCTGGAAAGGCTATAGAGTTTAAAAAGAAAGATTGGAAGTGTGGGGAACATCTCCAGGATAAAATAGCATGACATGTGAGTTAAGCGTATGAGCTCTGGACTCAGACTGCCTAATGCTAGGTAGTATCTGGTAATGATTAAGAAAATTATAACTGGGCCAGGCGTGTTGGTTCACCTCTGTAATGTCAGTACTTTGGGAGACTGAGGCAGGAGGATTGCTTGAGCTCAGGAATTTGAGACCAGTTTGGACCAACATAGTGAGACCTTTGGCTTTACAAAAATAAAAATAAAAAACAATTACCTGGGTATGATGGCTGGTGCCTGTGGACCCAGCTACTCAAGGCTGAGGTTGAGGTGGGAGTGTCCCCTGAGCCCAGGAGTTCAAGGTTACAGGGAGCTCTTACTGCACCAGACCTTTCCAGCCTAGATGACACAGTGAGACTTTGCCTCCAAAAACAAAAATTATAACTATAGCTAACATTTATTGATCAGTTACTTTATATTAAATTTAAGCACTGTTGTAGTATATACCTCATTTAACCTTCACAAAAACCCACAGTAGGCTATTACATTTATGAAGCAGTCAATCCTTGGGTTAACAAATTGCTCAAGACTAATGTAGTTTTCCACAATCCTTACTTTCAGTCACTAAGCTCTACTCCTCTCCTGGATGTTAGTGTTAAAAGAACTAAAACAGAGCAAAAACAAAGTAGGTATTGAATAAAAAGTAAGGAGAAACAGGCGTTAGACTTTGTAAAGATTTAACCACATGGAGGTGACATGCTTGGGAACTTAATGTAAAGAGACATTGGAGAAGAGTTTCAAGTAAAGGTAAATACATCAGTTTTACCACATTTAGGAAAACAGTGCTTGTTATTCATACTTGCGGGTTTGGTATACCCCCAGCAATCAAGTGATTTCAGATTAAGGGATAGTCTCTGCTCTTGACTGTTACTGTGGCCAGTTAAAAATTTTATTTGGAGAAACCTTGTCTGTTTAAATCACGTCTTACAGCTGTATCAGAATTAAATACCCAAGATGCTTTCCTTTATCTAAGAGAACACAGATACTGCTGAATTTGAACAAATGATTTTTTTTTTTTTTTTGAGACGGAGTCTTGCTCTGTCACCAGGCTAGAGTTCAGTGGCATGATCCTGGCTCACTGCAACCTCTGCCTCTCGGGTTCAAGCGATTCTCCTGCCTCAGCCTCCAGAGTAGCTGGGATTAGAGGCGTGCTCCACCATGCCCAGCTAATTTTTATATTTTTAGTAGAGATGGGATTTCACCATGTTGGCCAGGCTGGTCTTGAACTCCTGACCTTGTGATCCGCCCGCCTCACCTCCCAAAGTGCTGGGATTGCAGGCGTCAGCCACTGTACCCAGCATGGATCTGTGAACTACTTTTCTGTAAGATGTAAGATGTCTTAGATTTAAGGAAAATTAGATAGATATGTCATGGAATTGATACTTCATTTTCACTGAGGTGGATCTTAATATCTCTTTTATAAGGGTGTTGATACTGTGTATTCTTATATTACTGAGAGAATATCTCACATGTTTTGTAGAGTGTTATTTTAATTTCCAAATCTTTCTAACTCATTTGCATCGAATTCTAAAACCAAGTTTTCATTTGTGTTTAAGGTGGGAGACAAATTAACTAGGGTTTTTCCTTTTTTTTTAGGCGGAGGTTTGACCTACAGAACCCATCCCGAATGGATCGTAATGTGGAAATGTTTATGAACATTGAAAAAACATTGGTGCAGGTAACTTGGAAACAGGTTATTTAAAAAGTTTGCCTTTAATATATTTTCAGTTTTAAGATTGGCGGGCCGGGCGCAGTGGCTCACGCCTGTAATCCCAGCACTTTGGGAGGCTGAGGCAGGCCTCCCAAATCACGAGGTCAGGAGATCGAGACTATCCTGGCTAACATGGTGAAACCTCGTCTCTACTAAAAAAAAAAAAAAAAAAAAAATACAAAAATTTAGCTGTGTGTGGTGGTGAGTACCTGTAGTCCCAGCTACCTAGGAAGTTGAGGCAGGAGAATGACGTGAACCCAGGAGGCGGAGCTTGCAGTGAACCAAGATTGCGCCACTGCACTCCAGCCTAGGCAGCAGAGCGAGACTACGTCTCAAAAACAAAACAAAACAAAAACAGATTGGCTTTATTGGATTGCCAAAAGAACAAAGGAAGAAAATGTTCTGAAAGGTATTGTTTTATTATTATTATTATTATTTTTTTTTTTTTTGAGACGGAGTCTCGCTTTGTCGCCCAGGCTGGAGTGCAGTGGCCGGATCTCAGCTCACTGCAAGCTCCGCCTCCCGGGTTTACGCCATTCTCCTGCCTCAGCCTCCCGAGTAGCTGGGACTACAGGCGCCTGCCACCTCGCCCGGCTAGTTTTTTGTATTTTTAGTAGAGACGGGGTTTCACCATATTAGTCAGGATGGTCTCGATCTCCTGACCTCGTGATCCGCCCGTCTCGGCCTCCCAAAGTGCTGGGATTACAGGCTTGAGCCACCGCGCCCGGCCTGTTTTATTATTTTTATGGGTGTTTGGGGATTAGAGCTATGATTAATCTTGTCTTTAAGACTATTAAAATTTATGGTGAAATAATTTATAATTTTCTTCATTAATTTTACCTAATGTATTGTTTGACTTGCCTTTATTTTATTTTTATTTTCTTTGAGACAGGGTCTCACTCTGTCACCCAGGCTGGAGTGCAGTGGTGCGGTCATAGCTAGGCTCACTGCAGCTTTGAACTCTCGGGCTCAAGTGATCCTCCCACCTCAGCCTCCCCTGTAGCTGGGACTACAAGCACATGCTATCACACCTGGCTAATTTTTTGTATATTTTGTAGAGGTGGAGTTTTGCTGTGTTGACCAGGCTGGTTTCGAATTCATGAATTCAAGTGATTTGCCTGCTTGGCCTTCCAAAGTTCTGGGATTACAGGCATGAACCACCGAGTCCGGCCTGCCTTCATTTTATTTGGTTTAAGCACTCTTCCATCCTACTGTTCACTTGACTGAATATTTTCTTTGGGTTTGTTCCATGGTTGTACCATAAATACACATATTATTTCTCTAACTATATTATAACCTGGAAAAAAGAATGCTTAATGTCCTTATTTGTGTTTCCTAATATGTTCATTGTTTAATAATTTATGGTGATCACTAAATTAACCTTCCTGGGGAGAGGTAGCTGGCAAAAATTCAGTTAGATATTACTGTTAACTTAATATGTGAAAGTTGTTTGTCTCACAGATTCTTAGCTAGGGAAACAATTGGATATGTTTTGTTTGTTGGGTGAGAGTTTTTTTCATGATTTGGGGAGTCAACATACATGTTTTGTCATTGCTATTTTTAAGATTAACTGTAATCCCCTTCCATAGCTAAAAACACTACATTAGACCATTAAAGTAAATTTGGGTAAAATTGGGGAGGAGGATTAATCTGGCAATCTGGTGTGGTATCTTAATGAAAAAGCTGCTGAATTTCTTTAGGTCATGCTTCTCAATATTTTTTGTGGCAGAAAAGGTTATCTGGGGGTGGTTTGTGTATTACATAAATAATGTGATATTATTTCAAAACCAAGAGAATTTGAAAGTCTGTTCTTTTCATCCTCAGAACAATTGTTTGACCAGACCCAACATCTACCTCATTCCAGACATTGATCTGAAGTTGGCTAACAAATTGAAAGATATCATCAAACGACATCAGGTAATAGACACAATCACTTTAGATAATAATAGACACGATCACTTCATTTTGTAATTGTAAGCCTCTAATAAATGTCAACCATAGTAATGCTTTGGATTTCTTGATATATTTACATCAAAATAAATTTTTTTCTTGAGTTTTTATTTCTCTTTTTAGAGGTGAGGTGTCACTGTGTTGCCCAGGCTGGAGTGCAGTGGCGCTATCCTAGCATCCTTGCTCACTGTAGCTTTAGACTCCCGGGCTCAAGAGATCTTCCAGTTTTTGTGTGTGTGTGTGGTTTTTTTTTTGTTGTTGTTGAGAGAGTCTTGTGTTGTCGCCCAGGCTGGAGTACAGTGATGCGATCCCGGTTCATTGCATCCTCTGTCTCCGAGGTTCAAGTGATTCTTGTGCCTCAGTCTCCAGAATTGCTGGGACTACAGGTGTGTGCCACCATGCCTGGCTAATTTTTGTATTTTTCGTAGAGATGGGGTTTTGCCATGTTGGTGAGCCTGGTCTCGAACTCCTTACCTCAAGTGATCTGCCCACCTCAGCCTCCCAAAGAGCTGGGATTACAGGCATGAGCCACCGTGCCCGGCCACGATGGTTTCTCACTATGTTCCCAGGCTGGTCTTGAATTCCTGGCCTCAAGTCATCCTCTAGCCGGCCGGGCGCGGTGGCTCAAGCCTGTAATCCCAGCACTTTGGGAGGCCGAGACGGGCGGATCACGAGGTCGGGAGATCGAGACCATCCTGGCTAACACGGTGAAACCCCGTCTCTACTAAAAAAATACAAAAAACTAGCCGGGCGAGGTGGCGGGCGCCTGTAGTCCCAGCTACTCCGGAGGCTGAGGCAGGAGAATGGCGGGAACCCGGGAGGCGGAGCTTGCAGTGAGCTGAGTTCCGGCCACTGCACTCCAGCCTGGGAGACAGAGCGAGACTCCGTCTCAAAAAAAAAAAAAAAAAAAAAAAAGTCATCCTCTAGCCTCGCCCTCCCAAAGTATTAGGATTGATTATAGGTGTGAGCCACCAGACCTGGCCTCTTTTTGAGTTCTTAAAGTAGCAGTGTTTTTTTTCTCTCCACTCATCTTTAGCTTTTAGCCTAGAGTAGCATTTAATAAAGTCATTGGTGTGGAGTCTTTAGTCTTATTGTGAAGTATGCTTTCATAGACCTAAGGAGACCAATGTATTCTATATCACAGAGCTCTATCTACATCACAGAGATTATAAAGTCAAATAGAGTTGGTAACATAATTGGTAGGAAGAAATGACATATTACTTTCAAGTAATCCTGTCTCCCTTAACCCCGCATTTTATGTATTCTGTTACATACATTATTTAAAAAAAAGCAATTGATGGCCAGGCGTGGTGGCTCATGCCTGTAATCCCAGTACTTTGAGAGGCCAAGGCGGGTGGATCACAAGGTCAAGAGATCGAGACCATCCTGGTCAACATGGTGAAACTCGTCTCTACTAAAAATTAGCTGGGCATGGTGACGCGCCTCTGTAGTCCCAGCTACTGGGGAGGCTGAGTCAGGAGAATTGCTTGAACCCAGGAAGTGTAGGTTGCAGTGAGCTGAGATGGCGCCACTGTACTCCAGCCTGGTGACAGAGCGAGACTGTGTCTCAGAAAAATTCTGCCCCCTCAAGCTTACTTTGTCTTGATACACATGTACTAGTACTGTCTTCTGACATCTTAGCCTTCTTCTTCTGACTTCCTTTTAGGCTGAGACTTTGGGTATTTACTACATGTAAGTTTACAATTACACGTGACTAAACTGTAATTAAGCCCATCACATAGTAATCTAGCTGAGGAGACTTATGTAGAAGATAATTTTCTGAAACATTCCTTGTGTGACAGAGTTTTATGTATCCTTAGAATTGGTTGAGAAGCCTCATGAAATGTCTTTTTTTCCTGCTGCAAAAGAGATTACCAATTGAATTATGTTTTAGCATTTAGTAAAATATCTTGCATGTTCTGAAAGTTAATGTTTCTAGTACTGCATACAATTAAAGATTGAGTACATTCTTTCTTTTATATATGATATCTCAAAGTGTAAGGTAATATAATTATTTTATCACATTGAGCAATCTGAAGTCCAGTTCCTTTTTTTTACTAGTATTATGGCTTTGAACAGATCCCTTAAACCTCTCTCTTTTGGAATATCTTTTTATTGGATTGACTGTCAAATGCAGTTTATATGTGGAATGTTACCAGGACAGGAGTGGAACAAATTGATTGCTGTTTCTTGCCTTGAACCTGAAATTACCTACTCTTTTTGCTACCAGGTTGTACTGGAAACATTTTATGTATTGTCCTACAATTTATGCTGAATATTTAGCTGTTTTATATATATATATATATATATTTTTTTTTTTTTTTTTTTTTTTTTTTTTGAGGTGGAGTCTCGCTCTGTCACCCACGCTGGAGTGCAGTGGTGCGATCTCGGCTCACTGCAAGCTCTGCCTCCCGGGTTCAAGCCATTCTCCTGCCTCAGCCTCCCGAGTAACTGGGACTACAGATGCATGCCACCTTGCCTGGCTAATTTGTTTTTTTTGTATTTTTAGTAGAGACAGGGTTTCACCGTATTAGTCTCGGTCTCCTGACCTTGTGATCCGCCTGCCTCGGCCTCCCAAAGAGCTGGGATTACAGGCATGAGCCACTGCGCCCGGCCTTAGCTGTTATATTTTTGATGAAACCTGCCTTAGTGATTGTTTTCTAGGGATACCCTCCAGAGGGATGCAGAGGTCTAACTGGCTTCTTAGAATCTTAGGAAAGAGACCTTAATAGGTCATAATAATAGTACCTTCATTGATTTGATGATCAGGCCTTTATGTGTAAGCATTTTAAATGAATTAACAGGCTGGGCACCGTGGCTCACGCCTGTAGTCCCAGCACTTTCAGAGGCCAAGGCATCCAGATTGCTTAAGCCCAGGAGTTCAAAACCAGCCTGGGTAACAAGGCAAAACCTCTACAAGATGATAAGTAAATGAACCAACAGCTCACATTGATTGAGTACCTTCAGTGTTCCTAATGCCTTAATTCATTGTATTTGTTAATTCAGTTGTAAAGAATTCTAATGATATAGGTGTTATTGTTATTACTTTGTTTCTTTTTTGTTGTTGTTCTTTTTTGTTTCTTTGTTTGAGACAGAGTCTCACTCTGTCTCCCAGGCTGGAGTGCAGTGGCGTGATCTCAGCTCACTGCAAACTCCAATCCCCGGGTTCAAGCGATTCTCCTACCTTAGCCTCCCAGGTAGCTGGGACTACAGGCATGTGCCACTATGCCCTGCTAATTTTTGTGTTTTTTAGTAGAGACAGGGTTTCACCATATTGGACAGGCTGGTCTCGAACTCCTGACTTTGTGATCTGCCCAAAGTGCTGAGATTACAGTCATGAGCCACCTTGCCCGGCCTTGTTGTTTTTCTTTTTTTAACAACAGGTGTGCTCCACTGCACCTGGCTATTTTAGTTTTATTTTTGAAGAGACATGGTCTTGCCTAGGCTGATCTCAAGCTCCTGGCCTCAAGAGATTCTCCCTGCCGCCTCGGTCTCCCAAAATGCTGGGATTACAGGCATGAGCCACGGAACCCACCCTGCAGCACACACTCCCCCCCACTCCTTTTTTTATATGGAAGGTTTGTGGAAACTGTGTCAAACGAGTCTGTTGGTGCCATTTTCCCAATAGCATGTGCTCACATTGTGTCTGTGTATCACATTTTGGTAATTCTCACAATATTTCAAACTTTTTAAGTTGTTTGTTTGTTTGTTTTGTCACCCAGGCTGGAGTGCAGTGGTGCGATCTCAGCTCACTGCATCCTCCACCTCCTGGGTTCAAGCAGTTCTCTGCCTCAGCGTCCCGAGTAGCTGGTATTACAGGCATCCGCCACCACGTCCAGCTAATTTTTGTATTTTTAGTAGATACGGAGTTTCACCATGTTGGCCAGGCTGGTCTTGAAGTCCTGACCTTGTGATCCTCCCCGGCTTGGCGTCCCAAAGTCCTGGGATTACAGGTGTGAGCCACCACTCCTGGCTTACTTTTTTAGTATTATTGTATATGTTATGGTGATCTGTGATAGATGCTATTTGATATTATTTTAATTGCTTTGGTTTAGCACAACACCCATAGAAGATGGTGAAGTTAATTGATAAATATATGTGTTCTGACTTCTCCACTGACTGGCTATTCCTCTCTCTACCTCGTCCCTGAGACCCACAAGTATTAAAATTAGGCCAATTAATAACCCTACAATGACCTCTAGCTGGTCAAGTCAAAGGAAGAATTGCTTATCTGTCACTTTAAATCAAAAGCTAGTCGTGATTTAGTTTAGTGAGGAAGGCATGACAAAAGCCAAGATAAGGTGAGAACTTGGCTTCTTAAGCCAAACAACCAAGTTTTTAATGCAAAGGAAAAGTTTTTGAAGGAAATTAAAAGTGGAACTCTAGTGAACATGCAGATGATACGGTGCAAAACATGCTTATTGCTGATACTGAGAAAGCTTCAGTGGTCTGAATAGGAGATCAAAGCAGCCCAACATTTCCTTAAGCTAAATTCTAATCCAGAACAAAGGCCTAACTCTCTTCAATTCTGTGAAGGCTGAGAGAGGTGAGGAAGCTGCAGAAGGAACGTTTGAAGGTAGCAGAGGTTGCTTAATGAGGTTTAAGGAAAGAAGCCGTTTTCAGAACATAAAAATACAAGGTGAAGCAACAAGTGCTAATGTAGAATCTGCAGCAAGTTATCCAGAAGATTGAGCAAAGATAATTGGTGAAGCTGGCTACACCAAACAACATATATTCAATGTAAATGATAGTCTTCTATTAAAATAAGATGCTATTTAGCATCTTATTTATAAGATGCTATGCATCATATTTATAAGATGTCATAGTTAGAGAAGTCAATGCCTGGCTTTAAAGCTTCAGCCAGGCTGTTTTGGGGCTTAATGCAGTTGGTGACTGTAAGTTAAAGCCAATGGTCATTTGCAGTTCTTACAATCCAAAGGCCGTATAGATAATGCTACATCTTCTTTGCCTGTGCTCCATAACAAAACTGCAAAGCCTAGATGACAGCACATCTATTTACAGTATGGTTTACTGAATACTTTAAGCCCACTGTAGAGGCCTGCTGCTCAGGAAAAACAATTTCTTTTGAAATACCACTGCTCATTGACAGTCACCTAGTCACCAAAGTCTCTATTGGAGATGTACAAGGAAATTAATGTTATTTCCATGCATAGTAACACAACTTCCATTCTGCAGCCATGTTTTAAGGAGAAATTCGACTTTCAAGTCTTGTTATTTAAGGAATACATTTTGTAAAGATATAGCTGCTATAGTTAATGGTTCGTATGATGGATCTGGGCAAAGTAAATTGAAAATCTTCTGGAACAGATTCATCATTCTAGATGCCACTAAGAACACATGTGATTCATCAGAGGTCACAATATCAACAGTAACAGAAGTTGTGAAGACGTGGATTCTGACCCTCATGGTTGACTTTGAGGGGTTAAAGACTTTAGCTACAGACGTGGTTCAAATAAGAGAACTAGAATTTGAATTGAAGCCGGAACATGTGACTGAATTGCCGCGATCTTATGACCAAACTTGAACATATGGAAGAGTTGTTCCTTATGGATGAACAAAGTGCTTTCTTGACATGGAATCTACTCCTGGCATAATTGCTGTTAACATTGTTGAAATGAGAACAAAGGATTTTAAATATTACATAAATTTACTTGATAAAGCAAACAGCAGGGTTTTGAAAGAAATTCTACTGTGTGTAAAATGCTGTCAGCATCACATGCTACAGAGAAATCGTTTGTGAAAGTAGTCAATTAATGTGACAAACTTTACTGTTGACTTATCTTAAGAAATTGCCACAGCCACCTTAACCCTCAGCAACCACCACCCCTGATCAGTCAGCTGCCAGCATCATTGAGGCAGTATCCTCTATCAGCAAAAAGACTGATTTGCTTAAGTCTCAGATGATTGTTAGCATTTTTTTTTTTTTTCTTTGAGGTGGCATTTTGCTCTTGTTGTCCAGGCTGGAGTGCAATGGCGTGATCTCGGCTCGCTGCAACCTCTGCCTCTGGGGTTCAAGGGATTATCCTGCCTCAGTCTCCTGAGTAGCTGGGATTATAGGCACCTGCCACCACACCCAGCTCATTTTTTGTATTTTTAGTAGACACAGTTTTCACCATGTTGGCCAGGCTGGTCTTGAACTTCTGACCTCAGGCGATCCACCCACCTCGACCTCCCAAAGTGCTGGGATTACAGGCGTGAGCCACTGGGTCCGGCTGTGATTGTTAGCATTTTTGAGCAATAAAATATTTTTAAATTAAGGTATATACGTTGTTTTCTAAAACCATGTAAACATAACTTTTTATTTTTGTTTTGAGAGACAGGGTCTCTCTCACTCTCTTGCCCAAGCTAACGTACAGTGGCATAATCATAGTTCACTGCAACCTTGAACTCCTGGGCTCAAGTGATCCTCCCACTTCACCTCCTGAGTAGCTGGGACTACAGGCATTATTGCCTGGCTTTTTTTTTTTTTTTTTTTTTTTTTTTTTTTGAGACAGTCTCGCTCTGTCACCCAGGCTGGGGTGCAGTGGCTGGATCTCAGCTCACTGCAAGCTTCGCCTCCTGGGTTTACGCCATTCTCCTGCCTCAGCCTCCCAAGTAGCTGGGACTACAGGCGCCTGCCACCTCGCCCAGCTAGTTTTTTTTTTTTTTTTTGTATTTTTTAGTAGAGACGGGATTTCACCGTGTTAGCCAGGATGGTCTCAATCTCCTGACCTCGTGATCCGCCCGTCTCGGCCTCCCAAAGTGCTGGGATTACAGGCTTGAGCCACCGCGCCCAGCCTGCCTGGCTAATTTTTAAATTTGAGACAAGGTCTCACCGTGTTGCCCAGACTAGTCTTCAACTCCTAGGCTCAAGTGATCCTTTCACCTCAGCCTTCCAAAGTGCTGGGATTACAGGTGTGAGCAGCTGCGCCTGGCCTAAATGTAACTTATTTTTTATTTTTTTGAGACGGAGTCTCACTTTGTCCCCCAAGCTAGTGGTGCCATCTTGGCTCACTGCAAGCTCTGCCTCCGGGGCTCAAGTGATTCTTCTGCCTCAGCCTCCGGAATAGCTGGGATTACAGGCATGTGCCACCACACCAGCTAATTTTTGTATTTTTAGTAGAGACATGGTTTCACCATGTTGGCCACTCTGGTCTCGAACTCCTGACCTCAAGTGATCCACCTGGCTCAGTCTCCCACAGTGCCAGGATTACAGACATGAGCCAGCACACCTGGCCATAAATGTAACTTTTATATACGTCAGGAAACTAAATTTGTGCAACTAATTTTGTAATGCTTTATCACAGTGGTCTGAAACTGAACTTGACAATATTTCTGTGTTATGCTTGCACAGAGTCCTAGCTTATGGCTCAAGGCCAGAAACTGCATTGATTCACTTTAAATAATGATAATTTGTGATGACCTTGGAAGTAATTTTAAGAAGTAGTAGTACCTGGCTAGACACAGTGGCTTACACCTGTAATCCCAGAACTTTGGAAGGCCAAGGCAGGCGGCTCACTTAAGGTCAGGAGTTCAAGACCAGCCTGACCAACATGGTGAAACCCCCTCTCTACTAAAAGTAGAAAAAGTAGCCAGGTGTGGTGGCAGGTGCCTGTAATTCCAGCTACTCAGGAGGCTGAGGCAGGAGAATTGTTTGAACCCAGGAGATGGAGAAGGTTGCAGTGAGCCAAGATCATGCTGCCACACACTCCAGCCTGGGTGACAGAGCAAGACTTCATTTCAGGAAAAAAAAAAAAAGAATTAGTAGTACCCATATTACTGATATGGGTACCCAGAGAGAGAGAGATCTGTAGAGAACTAGCTAATAGATGCTCGAATTACTTTTTCTATACAGCAGTCTAAACTGTGTAGACAATTTCTTGGTTTATTGTTGTTAATCACTATTTTTTTTATTTGACTAAAAATAAGCAATACTTTTTAAATAAAGTCTATAAGTAAAACCATGCTTTTAGAATTTGTATGGAATTTGTATCTGGGATCCCATAGTTCATTTGCCATGTGCTTTATTTTTGTGGTTTTTGTTCATTTGCTTTCCAGGGAACATTTACGGATGAGAAGTCAAAAGCTTCCCACCACATTTACCCATATTCTTCCTCACAAGATGATGGTAAGTTGGTTTTGCGTTGTGAACGGATAAGCTCATACATCATACCATATGGATTTAATGTCATATCCTCAAAGTCTTAAACAGAATAACCAGCTTTTTATTTGTTTTTGTTTTGTTTTGTTTTGTTTTTAAGATGGAGTCTCTGTTGCCCAGGCTGGAGTGTAGTGGCGTGATCTCAGCTCACTGCCACTTCCACCTCCCGGGTTCAAGAGATCCTCCTGCTTCAGCCTCCTGAGTAGCTGGGAATACAGGCGGCCGCCACCATGCCCAACTAATATTTGTATTTTTATTAGAGATGGGGTTTCACTGTGTTGGCCAGGATGGTTTTGATCTCTTGACCTTGTGATCCGCCCACCTTGGCCTCCCAAAGTGCTGGGTTTACAGGTGTGAGCTACTGCACCCGGCCAACATTAACTTTTAAAAGATGTAGTAGAAGCTGTGCCTAGAGGAACATTTATTTCTTTTTTTTTTTTTTTTTTTTTTGAGAGGGAGTCTGGCTCTGTTGCCCAGGCTGGAGTGCAGTGGCCGGATCTCAGCTCACTGCAAGCTCCGCCTCCCGGGTTTACGCCATTCTCCTGCCTCAGCCTCCCGAGTAGCTGGGACTACAGGCGCCCGCCACCTCGCCCGGCTAGTTTTTTTTTGTATTTTTTAGTAGAGATGGGGGTTCACCGTGTTAGCCAGGATGGTCTTGATCTCCTGACCTCGTGATCCGCCCGTCTCGGCCTCCCAAAGTGCTGGGATTACAGGCTTGAGCCACCGCGCCCGGCCCATTTATTTCTTTATATTAGGAAAAGAGAAAGGTTAGAAATCAGTGGTCCAAACATCTTTCTCAAGAAATTAGAAAAACACCACCAAATTAAACCTAATGAAAAAAGGAAATAATAAAAGAGCAAAAATCAATGATGTAGAAAATACACATTAGTGAGATATTCAGCAATGTCAAGTGGTTCTTATGAAAGACTAATAAGGCCCGGATGTGGTGTCTCATGCCTGTAATTCTAGCACTTCTGGAGGCCAAGGCAGGTGGATCACTTGAGGTCAGGAGTTTGAGATCAGCCTGACCAAAATGGTGAAACCCCATCTCTACTAAAAATACCAAAAATTAGCCGGGTGTGCTCGCACCTGTCTGTAACCCCAGCTACTTGGGAGGCTGAGGCAGGAGAATCACTTGAACCTGGGATGCGGAGGTTGCAATGAACCAAGATCTCGCCACTGCACTCCAGCCTGGGCGACAGAAGGAGACTCCATCTCAAAAAAAAAAAACCGGACTAATAAGGTGGTTAAATCCAGGTGTGGTTGTATGTGCCTGTATTCAGCTCCTCTGGAGGCTGAGGTGGGAGGATCACTTGAGGTCAGGAGTTTGAGGCTGTGGTGTGTGATAATTGTGCCTGTGTATAGCCATTGCACTCCAACCTGGGCAACATAGTGAAATCTTATGTCTTAAAAAACAAGGCCTGGCGCTGTGTCTCAGGCCTGTAATCCCAGCTTTCTGGGAGGCTGAGGCAGGTGGATCACCTGAGGTCAGGAGTGCAAGACCAGCCTGACCAACATGGTGAAACCTGGTCTCTACTAAAATGACAAAAATTTAACTGGGAATGGTGGCAGGTATCTGTAATCCTGGCTACTCGGGAGGCTGAGGCAGGAGAATCGCTTGAACCTGGGAGGCGGAGGTTGCAGTGAGTTGAGATTGCGCCATTGCACGCCAGCCTGGGTAATAAGAGCGAAACTCTCTCTTACAAAAAAAAAAAAAAAAAAGAAGATTCCTATTGGTAAAAGAGGAAAATATCTAAAACCTAAGTTAAAATAATTAGATGAATGGATAAACAAAATGTGGCATATACATACAGTGGAATTTAAAAAAAAAATTTTTTTTGAGACGGAGTCTTTGCTCTGTCACCCAGGCTAGAGTGCAGTGGTGTGATCTCAGCTCACTGCAACCTCCGCCTCCCGGGTTCAAGTGATTCTCCTGCCTCAGCCTCCTGAGTGAGACTCCGTCTCAAAAAAAAAAAAAAAAAACCCAACAAAAAAACCCAATTCTGTTCTTCTAGCTAAGCTAATTTCAGTTAATTATTATATTAACTGTATGATATGCTAATTATTAACTGTATTTTATATTATACTAATTATTATATTAACTGTATATTTTTATTTTCTGTATTTGTGTTGCTCTGGCATTTGATGCCCTGGGGAGAGATTGCCCTTTTGAGGGCTAGCTAATTTCTAAAGATAATAACTTCTCTAGGAGCATATCTTTCATATGTAAACCAACCAATCTGAGTATGTAGCTGTAACCATCTTCTTATCTAACTCACACACCAAACCAATATTTCCCCTTTTCTAAATCATTCCAGGGTGAGGTACTAGGCAATTAGAGACAACCTCTGTGCCCCAATGTTTCTTGGAATTATTCAGCCATCCCTACCCTAAACTGTTTACTCTGCCCCGTGTTACCTTTTCTATGGAAACCCCAATACAGGCTTTGGCTTAGGCTTCCCCTTGTTCCTGTCTTCTACCTCTTGACTATTGTGATGCCTCTGCAGTGGCTCTGCATGGTATGTTCTTTCCCTTCTTTTGGGATATGTAAGTAATTCATCTTTCAGTGGCATTGGCCTTACTCTTGTCATTCAGCCATACTTCTATAAATTAATTCTTGGGTATAAATTTATAATACCTGGGAAGAGAGTGAGTTTACATCTCACACCTCTTGTTGTTTCTGCTATTAGGAAATTTTTCAAAGACAATTTAAAAAATTGTCTTGGCCGGGCGTGGTGGCTCACGCTTGTAATCCCAGCACTTTGGGAGGCCGAGGCGGGCAGATCACGAGGTCAGGAGATCGAGACCACAGTGAAACCCTGTCTCTACTAAAAATAAAAAAAATTAGCTGGGCACGGTGGCGGGCGCCTGTAGTCCCAGCTACTCAGGAGGCTGAGGCAGGAGAATGGTGTGAACCCGGGAGGCAGAGCTTGCAGTGAGCCGAGGTCGAGATCGCGCCACTGCATTCCAGCCTGGGCTACAGAGCGAGACTCTGTCTCAAAACAAAACAAAAAAAAACAAAAAAAATTGTCTTGATAAAAATCAAAAATTTTTTTGGCCGGGCACAGTGGCTCACGCCTGTAATCCCAGCACTTTGGGAGGCCAAGGTGATAGTTCACCTGAGGTCAGGAGTTTGAGACCAGCCTGACCAACATGTAGAAACCCTGTCTTTACTAAAAATAAAAAAAATTAGTCAGGCGTGGTGGCGCGTGCCTGTAATCCCAGCTACTTGGGAGGCTGAGGCGGGAGAATCGCTTGAACCTCGGAGGCAGAGTTTGCGGTGAGCCGAGATCACACCATTGCACTCCAGCCTGGGCAACAAGAGTGAAACTCCATCTCAAAAAAGAAAAAAAAGTCAAAATTTGTATCAAAGTCAGCTGTGGTTAGGAAAGATATGTTTTCTTGTTTTTCTCATTAAAGTACATAGTCTTTGACAAGATAATCAGTGTTCTGAAAGTCAGCTTTTACTAGTCAGAATACCACCAAGACACTCTTAACAGGACAGGACAGGTAGTTTAGGTAGTGGGGATTTAGAAAGATCCTCTGGCCCCTTCTTTTCTTTTTTCCTCTGCCATGTTGAGTTACCAGGTTAGGGAACAGGACCTGATTCTGTCATTTTCACCTTTTGTTTTGAGGTGGGGACTCACTCTTGCCCAGCCTGAAGAGCAAGAGTGCACTTATTAATAGCTCACTGCAGCCTCAAACTATAATGCTCAAGTGATCTTCCTGCCTCAGCCTCCTGAGTAGCTGGGAGTATAGATGCACACCACCATGCCTAGCTATTTTTATTTTTAAATTTTTTAAGTGACCGAATCTTACTTTGTTGCCCAGGCTGGTCTTGAACTCCTGGGCTCAAGTGATCTTCCTGCCCCTGCCTCCAAAAGTGCTGGGATTACAGGCTTGAACCACCACACCTGGCCCCCTTTGACTTTCTTTTGAGATGGTTAGGTGAGTCATTGTATGCTTTAAAAACAGCACAGGTGTAGGGGCTTCATGGCTTTATTCAGTGAAAACAAGGCTATATCTTGTTAAAACCAGCACTGGAAAGTAATTTTTACTTGGCTAATTTACTAAGGTCTGGTGGTTGTTTTTTTTTTTTTTGCTCTTTCTTGGGCTTTAAGGGGGCTTGCTTCAGAACTTCTCTCTTGCTATTAGGCATACATTTTCTAAGCTAAATTCAGACTACCAAAGAAGCACATGATAACCATTGTTGAAATGTGGAGGTAATTTAACTATGATTAGAATGAAAATCACTTTATTGTGTAATTTGCACTTATCTTTGGAAAGGGAACTTGAAAAAAAAGTCTACAATATGTAATCACATTGCTTACACTCTTGTTGGGAGGGCCAAATTAATAGGTATGAGGCAGTTAAAGAATAGTAAAAATAGTATTTTTGATAAAAACTTTGATGTAGCACTGTATAACTTACAGAACATCAGAAAAAGGGAATCTAGAGGAAGCAGAGTAGTTAGTAAAACTTTCATCAATGAGATGAAGTACAGTTTACATCTGGAAAGATGTGTAATAATTGCTAAGCCTCACAGAAAGAGGGATGAGAGGTTCACCATGGGAAGTGAAGCATTAAATAATATGATGATTATTACTTGGGTAGAAGAGAGAGGGGAGGCTGGCAGGAGAATGGGATGGGAGTATTTTACCACAGTGGATAGTTGGTTTTGTCAAGAGTGATGGATAGTAGATCTACAGTTTGGTAAGTCTGAAAGACTGAGAAATTTCCCTTTAATCTGGTAGATAGTACTCAATTTGAAAACTTTTTCTTTCTAAACCAGCAATGGCATCTTGGAAAAATGTTGTTCATTAGCAAACTAAAACATCTTAGTAAAAATTAAGGCTAAAAATAATAGTTTCTTCATTATTTTGTCAGTTTGAGTAAAATTTTTTTCTTTTTCTCTTTCAGAAGAATGGTTGAGACCGGTGATGAGAAAAGACAAGCAAGTGTTAGTGCATTGGGGCTTTTACCCAGACAGGTAATGTTCATTTGCTGTGAGACCTGGTATAAAGATTTCTGTGAAAGGAAGGCACATTTATTTATAGTTTTATTTTCTGAATAGTGACAATTTGTTGATTTGTGTGTAGTCTTTTAGACTCTTCCAGAGTCTTTCATTGACTGTTTTCTTAAGGTACAGAATTTAATGAGATCACCATTAAATCATGAATGAATAAGCCATAAATGGCTTTATTTATCTTTGAAAAAAAAATCGATATCAGCGCTGGACGTGATGACTCATGTCTGTAATCACAGCGCTTTGGGGGAGGCTAAGGCAGGTGGATCATGAGGTCAGCAGCTTGAGACCAGCCTGGCCAACATAGTGAAACCCCATCTCTACTAAAAATAAAAAAAATTAGCCAGGCGTGGTGTCGGGTGTAATCCCAGCTACTCGGGAGGCTGAGACAGGAGAATTGCTTGAACCCGGGAGGCAGATGTTGCAGTGAGTTGAGATTGCACCATTGCACTCCAGCCTGGGCGACGGAGTAAGACTCCGTCTCAAAAAAAAAAAACCCAAAAAACCTGGTGTCTTTTATGTATTTGCCGAGAAAGTCTGTGTGGTATTAGGTTGCTAATTTATATTTGTTTCTTTTAAGAAATGAATTTTACCGGGCACGGTGGCTCATGCCTGTAATTGCAGCCCTTGGAGAGGCCATGGTGGGTGGATCATGTGAGGTCAGGAGTTCAAGACCAGCCTGGCCAACATGGTGAACCTCCGTCTCTACTAAAACTATAAAAAGTTAACCAGACATGGTAGCACACGCCTGTAATCCCAACTACTCAGGTGTCTGAGGCATGAGAATCACTTGAACCAGGCCGGGAGTGGTGGCTCAAGCCTGTAATCCTAGCACTTTGGGAGGCCGAGACGGGCGGATCACGAGGTCAGGAGATCGAGACCATCCTGGTTAACATGGTGAAACCCCGTCTCTACTAAAAAATACAAAAAACTAGCCGGGCGAGGTGGCGGGCACCTGTAGTCCCAGCTACTCGGGAGGCTGAGACAGGAGAATGGCGTGAACCCGGGAGGCGGAGCTTGCAGTGAGCTGAGATCTGGCCACTGCACTCCAGCCTGGGCTACGGAGTGAGACTCCGTTTCAAAAAAAAAAAAAAAAAAAAAAAAAAGGAATCACTTGAACCTGGGAAACGGAGGTTGCACTGAGCCGAGATCATGCCACTGCACTCCATCCTTGGTGACAGAGTCTCACTCTGTCTTCAACAAATAAAGAATTTTTTCTAGTGTTTATTACTGATTAAATTTTTTTGAGACAGAGTCCCGTTCTGTTACCCAGGCTGGAGTGCAATGGCACAGTCTTGGCTCACTGCAACCTTCACCTCCCAGGTTCAAGTGATTCTCCTGCCTCCATCCTTCCTAGTAGCGGGGATTACAGGTGTGCCTCACCATGCCTGGCTAATTTTTGTATTTTTAGTAGAGACCGGGTTTCACCATGCTGATCAGACTAGTCTTGAACTCCTGACCTCAGGTGATCCACCTGCGTTGGCTTCCCAAAGTGCTGGGATTACAGGTATGAGCCACCACGTCCAGTCTGATCAGTTTGCTTTTTTCAAAAACTACTCATGCCAAACCATTAAGGATGAAATTAATTTATGTCGAAAATTGAGTTTTTCTTCTCATCAGAAATGTATTTGCCTAGTACTGTTGTGGCTTTACATGTTATAACCCATACTGGTTTCAGTATCTATAGTGTGTATAACGAGTATTGTAAACAAGAGCTAGATATTAGTGAAAATAGTGGGGGCAGGCGTGATGGCTCATGCCTGTAATCCCAGCACTTTGGGAGGCTGAGGCAGGCGGATCATGAGGTCAGGAGATCGAGACCATACTGGCTAACATGGTGAAACCCTGTCTCTACTAAAAATACAAAAAAATTAGCCGGGCGTGGTGGCGGGTGCCTGTAGTCCCAGCTACTCTGGAGGCTTAGGCACGAGAATGGCATGAACCCGGGAAGCGGAGCTTGCCGTGAGCCGAGATCACGCCACTGCAGTCCAGCCTGGGAGACAGAGCGAGACTCTTGTCTCAAAAAAAAAATTTTTTTTTATTTATTAAATAAAAATTATTTAATATTAATGCCTGCATAGTGCACATGGAAATAGGGATAACATTCCTTATACTTTATTTTTCTAAACCTATAGTAGAGCAGCTTTAGTATTCATTTCATTCTTGTCAAGTAAAGTGGAGATTTTCATTGTGGTTTCTACAGGTCTAGTCAGTCTTCTTTCACCTGCTTAATTTTTATGTTTTTATTTTATTTTCTCATAAGTTATTGGGGTATAGGTGATATCTGGTTACGTGAGTAAATTCTTTAATGGTGATTTGGTGCACCCATCACCCAAGCAGTATACACTGCACCTTATTTGTAGTCTTTTATCCCTCGCCACCACCCCCACTTTTTTTTAACCTCTACTTCTATCTACTTCTCGTCTTCTCATGTTATTTATAGCAAATCCCAAACACCATTTGAATCATAAGTATTTTATTATGTGTTTAAAAAGAAATACATTCTCTCTTTTTAAAAATTTTTTTGAGATGGAGTCTTACTCTGTCTCCCAGGCTGGAGTGCAGTGGCACAATCTTGGCTCCGCTTCCCTGGTTCTAGCGATTCTCATGCCTCAGCCTCCTGCGTAGCTGGGATTATAGACGCAAGCCACCACACCTGGCTAATTTTTGTATTTTTAGTAGAGATGAGGTTTTGCCACGTTGGCTAGGCTGGTCTTGAAAACTCCTGACCTCAGGTGATCCACCCACCTTGGCCTCCCAAAGTGCTGGGATTATAGGTGTGAGCCACCATGCCTGGACTTTTTTTTTTTTTTTTGGAGACAAGGTCATGCTCTGTTACCCAGGCTGCAGTGCGGTGGCATGAAGACAACTCAAGTGATCCTCCCACCTCAGCCTCCCTAGAGGCTGGCACTACAGGCACGTGCCACCCATAGGTGCCTTGTTTTTTAATTTTTGGTTGGGGGGTGGTCTCTGTGTGTTAGGCTGGTCTCAACCTCCTGGCCTCAAACAGTTCAAAGTAATAATACCATTGTCATCTTAACCCCAAACAGTTCCTTAATATAAAATATCATGACTGGGCACGATGGCTCATGCCTGTAATCCCAGCACTTTGGGAGTCTGAGGTGGGAGGATCACTTGAGGCCAGGAGTTCCAGACCAACTTGGACAACGTGGTGAAACCTTGTCTCTACAAAAAATACAAAAATTAGCCAGTCGTGGTGATATGTGCCTGTAGTCCCAGATACTTGGGATGGGGCTGAGGTGGAAGGATTACTTGAGCCCCAGAGGTTGAGGCTGCAGTGAGCTGAGTTCATGCCACTGCACTCTAGCCTGGGCAACAGAGCGAGACCCTGTCTCAAATAAAAATAAAAATCCAGTCAATGTTGTCAATTAAATGACACATTTGATTGATTGATAGTTGTTTGAATTAGAATTTAGATAAAATCTACCTGTTGGGATTAGTTGGTGTATTTAAGTACTTTTCTAATTTATAGTTGTATAGGTTTTTCTTCTGTCTTCATGACCTCCCCTTTCTTAAAACCTTACTGGTTTTAAGAAACCAGTTGGTTTGTCATGTTTTGTTTACCACAGTATGGAGTTTTTCAGTGGCAGCACTGTGGTTTATTTGAATGGATTACTCTGTTCTCTGTATTTCCCTTAAATTGGTAGCCGGATCTAGAGGTTAATCAGATTCCATTTTAATTGGGGAGGAACAAGACTATTGCATATATGTGTGTTCTTTATCAGGAAACAAAACGTCAGGTTTTGCATTGTTTCTGTTAGTCTATTTAAGTTTATTTTACTTGTAATTATATTTTTAAAAGAAGGAAGTTTGTCTTTAGATTCATTCAACATTTTAAGAGTATATGCCGTCTTTTTATGTAGTTCGAGTTAATTACAACTAAATAAAGTCACCTTTGTAATCAGTCTCGTGTGAACCATAATTGACAAATTTAAGTGAATAACTTCCCGTCCCTTAAGGATTAGTTTTTACTTTTAAAAAATATGTTGCCCACACTGGCCTCAAATTCCTGGGCTCAAGGGATTCTTCTGCCTCCTTACTAGCTGGGACTACAAGTATATGTCAGTAGGCCCAGCTTATTTTTAAAACATCATTTGAATAAGTGCTTTCTGTAAAGCACTTCTAGTCTAAAGGCTTCAAGTCAGTAGTCCTTGCATCCAAAAACACCTTTTAATATCTCAGCAACTATGATAGGAAAGCAGTTTGCCCTTTGAAACACTTCAGTGGAAACTTAAATTTATGATGACAAGCTACATAAGTATAGAGTTGGTATAAATTCCAAAATAACACATTTGTAACACATTTTAAGACAGTAGCCTGTTTACTCACCTTTTATGTATCAAATTAAGATGTGGCAGCTGGCTCAGGTCTTGTCTTCTCAAGGGGTCTTGTTAATTTACCTTTTAAAAATTAACTATGGCCTGTGCCCTCACTTCTGCCCACATTTGGATTTCTAATCAAGACTGGAAGAGTATAAGATTGAGTTTTTTTTGTTTTTTTTTTTTGAGGCAGAGTCTCACTCTCACCCAGGCTGGAGTGCAGTCGTGTGTGTGATCTAAGCCCACTGCAACCTCCGCCTCCCAGGTTCATGCTATTCTCCTGAATCAGCCTCCCATGTAGTGGAGACTATAGGCGCCCACCACAACGCCCTGCTAATTTTTGTATTTTTTAATAGAAACGAGATTTCACCATGTTGGCCAGGCTGATCTTGAACTCCTGACCTCAGGTGATCCACCCCCTCGGCCTCTCAAAGTGCTGGCATTACAGGCGTGAGCCACTGCACCTGGCCAGGTTCTATATGCTTTTGAACTGACTTCTGAATGATGACTAAAAGGAAGCTGATATTTGTCATCATACTAGATGTCATTTGGTTTCATAGTTTACTGGTCAGTATAGTGATATTCACAGTGTTTTATTTTGGTGAAAAATGTTATGCTTATTTTATGATTTTGTTGGAGTAGGTGGCCTGATTTATGTCATTAACTTAGAGCTTGTTGATAAAGAGGCTCCTTGAGCAAAGAGATGTGAAGAAATGAGAGACTAAGCTATATGGATATCTCGGCAGTGAGGGACCAGTCTGTGTAGAGTGTATGCAGGCTTAGTAGGGCATGTTGGAATAATGTTATCAAAGCCTGTGTGACTCAAATATAACATGAGTAAGGAGAGAAGAGCAGGAGATGGGGTCAGCGTCTCCATCAGATAATCAGATCTTGAAGCCATGGCAAGCCATCATTAGGTTTTTTTCTTTCACTCTCATTGGGTGAGAGCTGTTGGAAGGGTTGGATCAGTGGAGTGATGTGGACTGACTTAGTTTTCAAAAAGATCACTATGGTTGCTATGTGAAAAATTAACTCTTGAGAGACCAAGAGACCAATGGCAGAAGCCGGAAAACCAGTGAGCAGAGTGGAGGGGTAAAAATTAGATGGATTCTAGACATACTTTTGAAGTTAGAGCTGGTCACATTTGCAGTTGGTTTGATTACAGGATGTGCTTGAGAATGGAATCAAGGCTGTTTGCAATAATTTTGGCCTGAACAGCAGGAAAGATAAAGTTGCCATTACTGAAGTGGAAATGATTGGCTAGAGTACATCGCTGGGGCCAGGGTAGCATTGCAAGTTGAGCTTTGAATGTTAGGTTTGGAATGCTTGTTAGACGTTCTACACAAGGAGATGTGGAACTGGCTGTTGGATTTATGAGTTCAGAATACACGGGAGAGTGCTGACATAAAATTTGAAGTCATCAGTGTGTATTTAAAGTTATAGGAAGGAATGAAATTATCAGGGGAGAAGGATTTTTCCAAAAACTGAACCTCGGAACTTTTGAAGGTTGAAGACGTTTGGGACTAAGACCAGAAACTGGCATGGAAACTTGAAGAGAGGCTGGTGAATATAAGGACTATTAGGTGATATAGTACTTTCTTGGTGGCCAAGTGTGGGAAATGCTTTGAGGAAAGAGCAAGCAGCTGTTTAAAATTTTTTGGTCTTAGTCTTCAACTTCGGGTTTAGCAATATATACGTTATATACTGGTGACCTCTACAGAGGAGCTTTCTTGGCAGAATAGTAAGGAGAAAAGTGTCTAATAAGTTGCTATTAATAGATTTTAGTAGTATTTCTTTTAGTTTTTTGTTTTGTTTTGTTTTGTTTCGAGATAGGGTCTCACTCTGTTTTCCAGACTGAAGTGCAGTGGCATGATCTCAGCTCACTGCAACCTCTGCCTCCTGGGTTCAAGCGATTCTTCCACCTCAGCTTCCTGGGTGGCGGGGACTGTAGGCACGTCCTACCATGCCCAGCTAATTTTTGTATTTTTTGGTAGAGACGCAGTTTCACCATATTGACCAGGCTGGGATTTTAGTAGTATTTCTAAAATATGTTCTTAGTATTTGTAAAAGTCTTTCTAGTAAATTACCTTTGACTCTAATTTGTTTTTCTCTTTTCTGTTCCTTTATAGCTATGATACTTGGGTCCATAGTAATGATGTTGATGCTGAAATTGAAGATCCACCAATTCAAGAAAAGCCATGGAAGGTAAATGATTAAAAAAAAAAAATCTTATAATAATCTCTTTTTTTGTTGTTTTTTTGAGATGGCGTCTCATCTGTCGCCCAGGCTAGAGTGAAGTGGTGTGATCTTGGCTTACTGCAACCTCTGCCTCCCGGGTTCGAGTGATTCTCGTGCATCAGCCTCCCAAGTAGCTGGGACTACAGGCACACGCTACTATGTTTGGTTAATTTTTGTATTTTTAGTAGAGATGGAGTTTTACCAGGTTGGTCAGACTGGCCTCAAACTCCTGACCTCAGGTGATCCGCCTGCCTCGGTCTCCTGAAGTGCTGGGATTATAAGTGTAAGCCATCGTGCCCGGCCAAAAAAAATTATTATAATAATCTAATAGCTCTTCTCAGCTGTTTTCTAAGCAGTCTCTCTAAGGAGATACAGAATGTTGGTTTCCCTTTCCTGTCATCCATTTACAAGATATGCATGGCTACGAAGACTTTATTATCTAGGTCTTAGATGAGATGTCTGCAGTGCTTGATGTTTGAGGAGAATCCAAAGGCAGGTCAGATTGTGGTTTGTGAGAGAGGAGTGTGAGGAGTAGAGTTGAACATCACTGATGATGTCATTTGGAAAGCTTGGAAGCAGTGCCTGTGTGACTTTTAGAATGATGTAGACTCACTTTATTAATCATTTCTACCATAATGTAGTAAGAGTCCATACACTTACTTGTTAGTCAGCTTTTGAAGTGGAAGTAATTTAAACTTTGTGGGGCATGGTGACTCATACCTGTAATAACAGCACTTTGGGAGGCTAAGGCAGGAGGATTGCTTGACCAGCCTGAGCTACCAAAAAAAAAATTATCTGAGCATAATGGCAAGTGCCCTGTAGTCCTAGCTACATACTTAGAAGGCTGAGGCAGGAGGATTGCTTGAGCTGAGGAGGTTGAGGCTGCAGTGAGCCATGATTGCACCACTTCACTCCAGCCTTTGTAACAAGACCCCGTCTCAAAACAAAAAAATTAATTGTACAGGTTGCAAGAGTAGTCCAAAACAAAAGCACTACTTTGTACTCTTCTTCCAGATTTTTCTATTTTTAACTATTTTTGGAAATTAAATGTTGAAATTATACTATCATCTAATAGTAAAGGAGTAAGCCATATGACTCATGAACCATGTAATGTTGCGAAGTACTACTGAAGGATTTTTAGACATTTATTGCCCTGTAGATTATAGTGTCAGAAGTTTAAGACTGGGAATGATTACTTACTATGGTATCACATTGTTAGGAAGGAAACTAGGCTCCAGAGTATACCTCATATATCATTAGTAGTATTACGTTATTAATGTGTTTTATGCATTTGAGGCTTTGAAAATAAATCAGCGTGTTTCCTTTTCAATACTTTAAAACCTTGAGTGATTTTGTTATTTATGTAGATATTCATGATTTGATACGGTTTTAGGTTCATGTGAAATGGATTTTGGACACTGATATTTTCAATGAATGGATGAATGAGGAGGATTATGAGGTGGATGAAAATAGGAAGCCTGTGAGTTTTCGTCAGCGGATTTCAACCAAGAATGAAGAGGTATTTTCTTTGGCATGATTTCTCACCGTTAAGTCTGTCTTCTTGGCCTAAATGTTACTAAATCTTCATCAATAAATTGTCATATACAAACCACTTAGGAACTTTCACATCTACCTGATGGCTGATGTGCCATCAGGTGAAAATTCCTAAGTGGCTGTAACAGCCATCTCAGAAGCTAATAACCTCCCAAAAAGGGGTATGAAAATCTTAAAAGGTTATTAAGATTTAAAGTGGCCCATGCAGAAGGATAGTGGTATAGCTGATTTTGCCCACTAGATCTGAAGTGTAATATCATCACAGCAGAATTTAATGTAGCCGTTGGTTTTCCTATGGAAAACTCATTTTGTTTAATATGTGTATATATTTTTTGAGACAAAGTCTTGCTCTGTTGGCCAGGCTAGAGTGCAGTGGCACAATCTCGGCTCACTGCAACCTCTGCTTCCTGGGTTGAAGCGATTCTCCTGCCTCAAGCCTCCCAAGTAGCTGGGATTATAAGCGTTTGCCACCACATCTGGCTAAGTTTTGCATTTTTAGTAGAGACAGGGTTTCTCCATGTTGGCTAGGCTGGTCTCCAACTCCTGACGTCAGGTGACATGCCTTGGCCTCTCAAAGTGCTGGGATTACAGGCATGAGCCACCATGCCCGACCTGTTTAATATTCTTAAATAACTGTTAATCCACAGATGGTAGGTAGTGTAAAGTACAGGCCTTAAACATCTTAACAGTTATAGTTCAATCCGCTTTTCTGAGGGTGGATGATTTGACATTTTATATCATTTAATCCTTTGAGAAGTTCAGTCGCTTAGATATTTACCCGTGATTCCTTGTAAGGCACAACTTGTGGAAGGCACAACTCGTGCGGTAGGTGTCACTAGAAGACAATTTGACACTGAGAAGAAGGGGTGTTAGTATTGGATTTGTGGTAGCTTTAGAGACTTCTGGTTCCTTTTCCTGGGGTGTTGTTTGACTTTATTTATTTGTTTGTTTGTTTGAGACAGATTCTCACTCTGTTGCCCAGGCTGGAGTGCAGTGGTGTGATCTTGGCTCTCTGCAACCTCCACCTCCTGGGTTCAAGCGATCCTCCTGCCTCAGCCTCCCAAGTAACTGGGACTACAGGCACGCGCCACCACACCTGCCTAATTTTTGTATTTTTAGTAGAAATGGGGTTTCACCATGTTGGCCAGGCTGGTCTTGAACTCTTAATCTCAGGTGATCTGCCCGCCTCGGCCTCCCAAAGTGCTGGGATTACAGGCCTGAGCCACTGCGCCTGGCCTGTTTTACTTTGTTGAAACATCTTAGAGATGGATATTCTTTGAACCACTGACATGCAGAGTACAGTTCTTTCATACCTATTTCAGTGCTGTGACTTTACTATGAAAACCTTGCTGTTTTTCACATTAATTTTTTTTTTTTTCTTGACACGGGGTCTCATTCTGTTGCCCAGGCTGGAGTGCAGTGGAACGATCTTGGCTGAATGCAGTCTCTGCCTCCTGGGTTCAAGTGATTCTCCTGCCTCAGCTTCCCAAGTACCTGGGATTACAGGCACGTGCCACCACACCTGGCTAATTTTTGTATTTTCAGTAGAGATGGGGTTTCACTATCTTGGCCAGGCTGATCTTGAACTTCTGACCTCAGTTGATCCACCAGCCTTGGCCTCCCAAAGTGCTGGGATTACAGGTATGAGCCACCATGCCTTGCCAATTTTTAGGAAAAATATTAGGAAACAAAAATGTTAAATGGCTGGGCCCAGCGACTCACACCTGTAATCCCAGCAGTTACGGAGGCCGAGGTGGGAGGATTGTTTGAGCCCAGAAGTTTGAGACCAGTCTGGGCAATGTAGCAAGACCTCGTCTCTTCAAATGATAAAAAAAATTAGAGAAAAAAAAAAGAGAAGAGAAAAATGTTTTACAGTTGAGTCTTTGTCATACCTTTTTACTTGCAGTTGGTTCTTGTTTGTTTTGGAATTGGACTCGTCAAATTTTTTTTTTTCCACCAGTCTTATGGTGCTGATGACTCTTCCATATTCTCTTATTTTAACCCTTCCAGAAGATACACTTACATATTTGCTTTCCCTTAATATATTTTAATTGAAGGCTTTTTTGTCATTAGGAATATTCCAGTTTCTACATTACATTCTTTAACCGACCAGTTCATACCCATTTCTGTTCTGATTTAGTTTGTTTATTCATTTATTTTTAGGAGGTTATATAAAAATGGATATTTGGGCCGGGCGCCGTGGCTCAAGCCTGTAATCCCAGCACTTTGGGAGGCCGAGATGGGCGGATCACGAGGTCAGGAGATCGAGACCATCCTGGCTAACACGGTGAAACCCCGTCTCTACTAAAAAATACAAAAAACTAGCCGGGCGAGGTGGGGGGGGCCTGTAGTCCCAGCTACTCCGGAGGCTGAGGCAGGAGAATGGCGTGAACCCGGGAGGCGGAGCTTGCAGTGAGCTGAGATCTGGCCACTGCACTCCAGCCTGGGCGACAGAGCGAGACTCCATCTCAAAAAAAAAAAAAAAAAAAAAGGATATTTGTTTAAAAATTTAGGGTTGGGCATGGTGGCTCACGCCTGTAATTCCAGTACTTTGGGAGGCCAGGGTAGGTGGAGTGCTTGAGCGCAGGAGTCTGAGACTAGCCTGGGCAACATGGCAAGACCCTGTCTCTGCAAAAAATACAAAAATTAGCTGGGCTTGGTGGTGCGCAACTGAAGTCCCAGCCACTTGAGAGACTGAGGTGAGGGGGATCAATTGAGCCCAGGAAGTTAAGGCTGCAGTGATCCATAGTCGCTTGAACTCGGGTGGTGAAGGTTGCAGTGAGCTGAGATCATGCCACTGCACTCCAACCTGGGTGTCAAGAGTGAGACCCTGTCTCAGAAAAAAAAAGAAAAAAATTCAACTTCAGATTTATTGTATCATTCAAAGGTGTATATCCTTTAGATTTTTTTCAAACTGCTATTACATACTCATAAGGTGTTCAAGGTTCTCAGTTTGATGCCATGGAGCTTCTCAATGGAAATGCAGTTGAAAGGAATAGGATGGCAACAGAGAAAATTAACATTTAATTCATGGATTTTTTTCATTTTGGCGTGAGACAGAATCTCATTCTGTCACCTACGCTGAAGTGTGGTGGCGCAATTATAGCACACTGTGACCTTGACCTCCTGAGCATAAGCTATCCTCCCGGCTCAGTATTCTGAGTAATTCGGGTGACAGACGCACACCCCTAAACCCAGCTAACTTTTTGTTTGTTTGTTTTTGTAGAGACAAGGTCTTACTATGTTTCCCAGGCTGGTCTTGAACTCCTGGGCTCAAGCATTCCCCCTGCCTCGGCCTCCCGAAGTGCTGGGATTACAGGTGTGAGCCACCATGACCAGCCTAATTGATGTTTTAATTTTAGGTTATTTACTTATGCCTTTCATGCTTTTACCTAATCTAGTACTGATCATTTAGGTGTTTTTTTCTTTATGATAGTCTGTTTTATTAAATTGGTAGTTACTGTCTGCAGGCTTGCTTTTGTATGTTGATCTTATGTCTTGCAACTTTCCTGAACTTGTTCATTAGGTCTGGTAGCTTTTTTTATGTATAAAATTGTATCATCTGCAAACCAGGATAGTTTTTACTTATAAAGGTTGACTTTTTTTTTCCTTCTTTGAGACAGAGTCTTGCTCTGTCACCCAGACTGGAGTACAGTGACATGATCACGACTCAGTGCAACCTTCGCCTACTGGGTTCAAGCAGTTCTCATATCTCAGCCTCCTGAGTAGCAGGGAGTACAGGCATGCTTCACCATAGCCCGCTAATTTTTTGTATTTTTAGTAGAGATGGGGTTTCCCTGTGTTGGACAGGTTGGTCTTGAACTCCTTGCCTCTTGCCTCAAGTGATCTTCCCACCTCGGCTTCCCAAAGTGCTGGGTTTACAGGCATGATTCATGGCACCCGGCCCTAGACCTTGACTTCTTTTTTTTTTTTTTTTTTTTTGGAGACTGAGTCTCACTCTTGTCACCCAGGCTGGAGTACAGTGGCCCGATCTCAGCTCACTGCAAGCTTTGCCTCCTGGGTTTACGCCATTCTCCTGCCCCAGCCTCCCAAGTAGCTGGGACTGCAGGCGCCACCAAGTTTTTTTTTGGTATTTTTTAGTAGAGACGGGGTTTCACCATATTAGCCAGGATGGTCTCAATTTCCTGACCTCGTGATCCGCCCATCTCGGCCTCCCAGAGTGCTGGGGTTACAGGCTTGAGCCACCGTGCCCGGCCAGACGTTGACTTCTAAATTATGTTGCCATCTTGCTTAACATTTCTTATAACATAAAGTTATCTTCTATTTGTTTTAGAGATTAAGAATAATTCCTATAATGCTACATTTTCACAGGATCATTTGGCCTGTCTTTGTATTTTGTCAGTTTAATAGAGTGTATTTCATATTTTTCCAGTAGTTATTGAAATACATTTCCCACCTCAAAACATAGAATGTGAACAGTACCAGTTTTTAGTTGTGCAGGGTTTCAGCATGTCTATTATAGCATAGTTTGAATAACTGATAGCTGATACTTCCATTGATGATATATATCACCTGAAAGGTCAGGGAAAGTTTCTTGATTACTGGTGTTCCTGGATGATTAATGATATTCTTTTCATTTGCTCTGAACTAAGGATATGCTCTTGTCTTTGTATGTGGAGACTCACCTTTTGCCAAGGATTTGTAGAAACTGAGGAGCAAAGATAGCTGATATTTATTTCCATTTACTTCTTCCTAGCCAGTCAGAAGTCCAGAAAGAAGAGATAGAAAAGCATCAGCTAATGCTCGAAAGAGGAAACATTCGCCTTCGCCTCCCCCTCCGACACCAACAGAATCACGGAAGAAAAGTGGCAAGAAAGGGTAAGAACGATTACATGATTCAAAGGGCATTAAAACAGGCCGGATGTGGTGGCTTACACCTATAATCCCAGCACTTTGGGAGGCCAAGGCAGGCAGATCAACTGAGGTCAGGAGTTCAAAACCAGCCTGGCCAACATGGTGAAATCTCATCTCTACTAAAAAATATAAAAATTAACTGGGCGTGGTGGTGCACGCCTGTTTGAATGTTAGGTTTGGAATGCTTGTTAGACGTTCTACACAAGAAGATGTGGAACTGGCTGTTGGATTTATGAGGCTTGGGAGGCTGAGCCTGGAAAATCACTTGGATTTTTTTTTTTTGGTATCTAAGTATGTATTGAGAAGCATGGCTGGTAAGGAGTTTAAGACATTATATTCACCAAGTTTAGTGTCTCCTTTTCTGATTTTACCATTTGTCCCATTTGTGACAAAATGTACTCATAGAAGAGGTGAATACGTGGCTGCTTGATGTTCGGCAAAGCATGGCAGTACAACTTTTGTACTTAGTGAGCTTTGGTTGAATGAGGATTATGATTTCTACTGAATAGATTGTTTTGAGGGTTAAATGAGACTTTAAAGCCTTTGCACATTGCCTGGCCTTAAATACACACTTAATAAATGGTATATGGTAGTTAATAATTGGTATATATTAAGATACATAATTTCTTTTTTGCATAGCTTAAAATATTTTCATTATAATTTTTATAGTTTAAACTTAGCAAGATAATTATGGTCTGTAAATTGATTATTTTCATGTGACAGTCAACTTTTTGGATGTTGATTGAAGTGTAAAGGTACAATTGACATCATCTCTCCTGCAGTTTCCTTATATAGACTTTCCTCCCTACCCTAGTTAGCATTTCTGTTCCCAGAAGATTCCTTGAATCATATTGCTTCCTGAAGGGTAGTTATGACAACACTCTTACTAATAGAAGTCTTTAGGTGCATTTAAAAACCTCTTAGTTTCATATATTATTAAGCAAGTTACAGTCATCAAAAAACCTTTAAAAACTTAGTTTTTGAGCCCATATGTATTATGACATGAAAATTGAAATTATAAAAATAGATTTTTCATTAGCTGTTTATGGGGTAACTTTATTTTTTACAGGTTTTTTTTTTTTTTTTTTTTTTTGGAGATGGAGTCTCACTCTGTTGCCAGACTGAAGTGCAGTGGCGCAATCTCAGCTCACTGCAACCTCCGCCTCCCAAATTCAAGTGATTCTCCTGCCTCAGCCTCCCAAGTAGCTGGGAGTACAGGCTCGCGCCACCACGCTCAGCTAATTTTTTTGTATTTTTAGTAGAGACAGAGTTTCACCATGTTGGTCAGGATGGTCTCAATCTCCTGACCTCGTGATCCACCCGCCTCAGCCTCCCAAAGTGCTGGGATTACAGGCATGAGCCACTGTGCCTGGCATACATTCCTTTTATATATATTTAACATTTCATCTTTTTTTTGAGACAGTGTCTCGCTCTGTTGCCCAGACTGGAGCACAGTGGTGTGATCTCAGCCCATTGCAACCTCTATCCCCTGGGCTCAGGCAATTCTCCTACTTCAGCCTCTTGAGTAGCTGAGACTACAGGTGCGCAGTACCACACTCAGCTAATTTTTGTATATTTTGTAGAGATGTTTTCTCTCCTTGTTACCCAGACTGGTCTCAAACTCCTGGTCTCAAGCAGTCCTTCCACCACGGCCTCCCAAAGTGTTGGGATTATTTGCATGAGCTACCACACCTAGCCTATTTCTTACATTTCTAGTCTGAATGTTGCTGTTGCTGTTCAGAGATTTTGGAGCTACATGAGATCTCTGCAGGGAGGGCACTGTCAACTATGATGAGATAAAATGGGGTGCCGGGACACCAGTGGTTATTGAACCGAGATGTGATCCCTAGGAGGCTTGAGGCTCACAGTGGTGACATGTACCCTCCACTTTGAATATAACGCATACCAGATTGAGTTCTCTAAAATATATGTATGCATGTACTTTAATGGAATACATTTGCCTTGTAATGACCACACCTTTTCTCATTTTACGTTTCTCCTTAGAATTATGTTGAAAATATAATTAGAAAATATTTTGAAATCTGTTTTCCCAACTTTTGTTTCATTCATCTGCATTGTATGTTTTCTTCCCCTTTAAGTATTTTATCTCTCTGCTGCCTTTAGGTTTATAGGCTTTTAAAAAATCATCATGTAGCACTTGTCTTTCAAGTTGCCTGCTTAGCCTTCTTCCAAGTGTACTTTCCTTCCTTTTGTTTAAAAAAAAATAAAGGCTGAGTACGGTGGCTCATGCTTGTAATCCCAGCATTTTGGGAGGCCGAGATGGGTGAATCACGAGGTCAGAAGATGGAAACCATCCTAGCTAACACAGTGAAACCCAGTCTCTACTAAAAATACAAAAAAAAAATTAGCCGGGCATAGTCCCAGCTGCTCGGGGGAGGCTGAGGCAGGAGAATGGCGTGAACCTGGGAGGCGGAGCTTGCAGTGAGCTGAGATCACGCCACTGTACTCCAGCCTGGGTGACAGAGCAAGACTCCGTCTCAAAGAAAAAGAAAAAAAAAAAAAAAGAACAAAAACAAGCCGGGCGCGGTGGCTCAAGCCTGTAATCCCAGCACTTTGGGAGGCCGAGACGGGCGGATCACGAGGTCAGGAGATCGAGACCATCCTGGCTAACATGGTGAAACCCCGTCTCTACTAAAAAATACAAAAAACTAGCCGGGCGAGGTGGCGGGCGCCTGTAGTCCCAGCTACTCGGGAGGCTGAGGCAGGAGAATGGCGTAAACCCAGGAGGCGGAGCTTGCAGTGAGCTGAGATCTGGCCACTGCACGCCAGCCTGGGCGACAAAGCGAGACTCTGTCTCAACAAAAAAAAAAAAAAAAAAAAAAAAAAAAGAACAAAAACAAACAAACAAAAAAACTCATGTGATTTTTATTTGGAAAACAGTTTTACTTTATGTATCCTATTCTAACCTAAGCCAATATGTCATCCCTCAAAGGGAACTTTGAACATTCTTTCTGCACTGTAGAACTCAGGCTGGCCCAGCATGCTGTTTCAGTCAGCTTTTTCTCCATTTCCACTCTCACTTCACAGTGCACTTTAGATTGCTATGCAGTACTTCCCAAAGCAAGTGTGTTTTTCTTTTCTTATACCTTTTGGCCATTATTCTGCATCCTGAAGCATTGTCTTTTTTTTTAATATTTCATTTATTTATTTTTGCCAGACAAGATCTTGCTCTTTGGCAGAAAAAAATAAAAAACAATAACAAATAAATTAGGGGCTTAAATTAGTATAATAACATCTGCTGAAGAATAAATAAATAATCATTAAAAAAAGACAATGCAGAATATTCAGGGTGCAGAATAAAGGCTGGAGTGCAGTGGTGCAATCATGTAACCTTAAAATCCTGAGGTCAAGCAATCCTCCTCAGTGGCTAGGACTACAGGTGCATGCCCCCATGCCTGGCTTAGCATTAAAAACTTTTTGGAGGCTGGGTGCAATAGTCCATGCCTGTCATCCTAGCACTTCGGGAGACTGAGGTGGACAGATTGCCTGAGCTCAGGAGTTACAGAGCAGCCTGAGCAACATAGTGAAACCCCATCTTTACTAAAAATACAAAAAAAATTAGCCGGGCGTGGTTGTGCACCCTTGTAATCCAAGCTACTGGGGAGGCTGAGGCGTGAGAATTGCTTGAACCTGAGAAGGCAAAGGTTGCAGTGAGCTGAGATTCGTGCCACTTCTCTCCAGCCTGGGCAACAGAGCAAGACTGTCTCCTCCCTCCGCCCCCACCAAAACAAAAGAAAAGAAAACAAAACTTTTTGGGCCAGGAGCCATGGTTCATGCCTGTAATCCCAGAACTTTGGGAGGCCAAGGTAGGAGGATCGCTTAAGTTTGACATCACCTGAGACAACATAGTGAAACCCTGTGTCTAGAATAAATTAAAGAAAGAAAAATAGTCTGGGCATGATGGTGTGCACTTATAGCCTCAGCTACTCAGGAGCCTGAGGAAGGAGGATTACTTGAGCCCAGGAGTTCAAGGATGTAGTGACCTGTGATTGCACCACTGCATTCCAGCTTGGACAACAAAGTGAGACCCTGTCTCAAAATTTAAATTTTTTGTTTTTTGGTAGAGATGGGGTCTCGCTCTGTTTCCGAGGCTAGTCTCGAACTCCTGGCCTTCCCTTGCTCTTGGATTACAGGCATGAGCCACCACACCCAGCCCTTACCTCTTAGTGAATTGTTAAACAATTCTCAAGGTTCAGCTTAACTCTAATCTTCAGTCCTTACAACCTCTCTATGATGTATTTTCTTGGTACTTTTATTCATTTCTCTGCACTGAAATATAATACTTCTATTGTATTTCTCTGTGTTTCTGTGAATCCTGTTATGTGAGGTAAGGATTTCTGTTGTATATCCCTTGTAATCCCTAAAGGTAAAGAATCATTACTGGGTTTATTTTTTTGAGCCCCCCTGGCATTTATTAGTTTTAAAAATTAATAATGATTTGATTGAATTTTTGGTGCAAGAGCAGTGGATGATTTTATACGGTAGATTTAGTACTATGTTTAAGGACTCTACTTGCCATTCCTGATATTTGGATGATAAAATGGCCATTAAAACACAATGGTACATATCTTTGATCACATATGTGATTGCTTATAATCTTAGAATATATCATATTTCCTTAGCAGTTCTTCTTTTATTACACTAATTTAAGTCCCTTTTGTGATAGTGCCAGCAATTGTCTAGTAGAATTTTTTGCCCATTTTTTATGCCTGTTAACTTTTATTTTTGTTTTATTGGCTGGTTAGATGTAATTTGGGGGAAGTTATCTAATTTTTTTTTTTAATGTTGCCTTTTTTATTTTTAAAAATTCTTTTAGATAGAGTCTCCCTCTGTCACCCAGGTGGGAGTGCACTGGCGACATCTCAGCTCACTCCAACCTCCACCTTCTGGGTTCAAGCAATTCTCCTGCCTCAGCCTGCTGAGCAGGTGGGATTACAGGCGCCTGCCACCATGCCTGGCTTATTTTTGTATTTTTAGTAGAGACAGGGATTCGCCATGTTGGCGAGGCTGGTCTCAAACTCCTGGCCTCAGTGATCCACCTGCCTCAGCCTCCCAAAATGCTGGGATTACAGGCATGAGCCACTGCGACCGACCTACTGTTTGTCTTTTAAAGTGATCTTGAGCATATATTCTACAAATAATGAAGGTGTACAGCCTCAGAAACTGTTTGCTATAAGTAGCAATAATCAATCTTGTTTATATTTCATATACCTTGTATGTTTTAGCCAAGCTAGCCTTTATGGGAAGCGCAGAAGTCAGAAAGAGGAAGACGAACAAGAAGATCTAACCAAGGATATGGAAGACCCAACACCTGTACCCAATATAGAAGAAGTAGTACTTCCCAAAAATGGTTTGTATTATTCTGCATGAGAGTGTTAGATGTAATTTAGTCATTCTCAGCAATACCATGGGATGAGTCATTGCTTGCTGTGGGTCCACAGTTCTCGACTTTCAAGTATGAATAGATTATCCCTTTTATGGATATCATTTTTGAATGTTCTGTAATCATTTGAGTAGTTTTACTCTTTTTTTTTTTTTTTTTTTTGAGACGGAGTCTCTCTTGGTCGCCCAGGCTGGAGTGCAGTGGCGCGATCTCAGCTCACTGCAAGCTCCGCCTCCCGGGTTCACTCCATTTTCCTGCCTCAGCCTCCCGAGTAGCTGGGACTACAGGCGCCCACCACCGCACCCGGCTGATTTTTTGAAGTTTTTAGTAGAGACTGGGGTTCACCGTGTTAGCCAGGATGGTCTCGATCTCCTGACCTTGTGATCCGCCCGCCTCGGCCTTCCATAGTGCTGGGATTACAGGCGTGAGCCACTGCGCCCGGCCCTACTCTTTGTTTATTGAGAAAACTTACAGCGACCAAAAACAACTTTAAATTTAAATGTTTTAAAATTAATGGTTTTTAAATTGCAACAGAATCATATTCATATGAAAAAGTGGAGTATGTACTTATATACAGTTTAACTTATTGAAATCTCTAGGGAATGCTTTATGTGAATGCAAATTTGAAGATCTCCAGTAATGAATTTCTTCTAAGTGTGATGAACCTTAGTTACCAGTTATGTAAATTCTGACCTGACTTCTATTCAATGTAATTAAATTCAAAGTGGGCTGGGCATGGTAGCTTATACCTGTAACCCCAGTACTTGGGGAGACCAAAGCAGGGGGATCACTTGAGGTCAAGAGTTCAAGACCAGCCTGGCCAACGTGGTGAAACCCCATCTGTACTAAAAATACAGAAATTAGCCAGGCACAGTGGCACGCCTGTATTTCCAGCTACTCTGGAGGCTGAGGTAGAAGAATCATTTGAACCCAGGAGGCGGAGGTTGCAATGAGCTGAGATCATACCACTGCACTCCAGCCTAGGCGACAGAGTGAGACTCAGTCTCAAAAACAAAAACAACAAACATAAAAAAGCCAAAATGTTCTTTAAATATCGATAAGGTATTTTTTATTGATGATTAAATGTTTGTGTCCTCAGTGAGCCAGTGATTAGATTTAAAAAAATAAGCTCTAGCATACTTTATAAAGTAAAGACCTATGATTGGCGTTTTATGATTTATTAGCCTTCTCCACCCATCTTTGTGGGTACAGCTTGTAAATAAGAGACTATATATATGACTATATATATCAGTTGGTGAATTATAACTCTCATACTAATCATCTGAGTTTATAGAATTTCACTGGAATCTAGAAAGTGGAGATTTAAAATTTGGGAACTAGAAACTAAGTCATTAAAGTTATTAGTGTTTTTTTTTTTAAATATACTTTATTGAAATAACTGGAGGAATTAGAACTTTTTCTGGTTATTAGAAGCTGAATTACAATTTCTTCAAAACAGCCTAAGATGAAGGATTGTAGTAAATTATAAGGTATCTCTTTTTTATTTTACTATTCTGTGAGCATGAAAAATAATGAAAAAGTAGAAAAAAAATCTAGGATTTAGATTAAGATGTATATGAAGCGTATAACTATCTCTCCTGTGCTAAACTTATGCAGTGACAGAAAAGAGTATTATAAAAAGCCTAGGAAAAACCAGAACATTATTTGTACATTTGTACATTGTTGAGAAATTTGTAAAATATAGGAAGCCATCTGGATCTAAAAGTAAGATGAGTTACTAAAACTCAGAAAGTATACGGTTAAAAATAGGAGAAGATTATATGGTTTATATGGTACTAAACAGAGCAATTGATAAAGAAGACTATATGGTTTATATGGCACTAAAGACAGAGCAATTGATAAATAATTAAGATGGGTACTGGGTGTATATGTATATATACATAGGTATATACATGTAGGGCAATATGCATATGTATGTATATACCTATATATACACACACATATAGGAAATATACATATGTATAGACATATAGGACAATATACATATGTATAAGATGGGCACTGGGTGTATATATGTATATACATATGTATATACATATGTATATACATACAGGACAGTTAAGAATACCAGGAGAAGCTAGGCTCATCAGCATTGGTCTGTCTGTATTTTGCACTCAGCTGATGGTGTGTTGTCCGGTCGAAGGCTAAAGCACTATGGCTAAAGGTGACAAAGATGGCAAGGAAAGTGTCCCAAGCAGTTCTTGACATCCAGATGGAGGGATTAAAGGATAAAAAAAAATAAGCAGGAGAATTGGTAGTTGTCCTTTTTATTGGTTTTCTGTTCTCTAGTGAATTTATAAATTACACCATTCAAGCATTTGATTTTTCTGAATTTAAGTATAACCAGTTCAAGCCCCTATTCACAGTTGCTTGTATTTTCATTTTCTTAACACTTTTTTTTTTTTTGGAGGACAGGTGCTCTTAACTTCTTGTGTCCTAAGAAATTTTTTGCCTACGTTAGTGTTGTAAATGTGTTTTTCTGTGTGTTCTTGCAGAAGGCTTATGCCTTCTGCTTTTATAGTTAGGTCTGTGACCCAATTTAAAGTTGATTTTGAGGATGTTATGAATTACGGGTCGAAGATTATTTTATTCCCCACATAGGTATTTAGTTGTTTGTACACCATTTGCTGAAAAGACACTACTTCTCACATTGAACTATTTTGATGCCTTTGTTGAAAATCATCACACGTGTCTACATTTAGATTCAGTATTCTATTCTAACCATCTCATTGTACTTAATACCACAGGGCCTGAGTTATTATAGTTTTTTTAGTAAGTATTGAAATTGAGTAAACTTCAACTTTTGTTCACATTTTTCAATATTGTTTTTGCTATTATAGCTCTTAGCTTTTCCATGTAAGTCTTAGCACCAGCGTTTAATGTAATTTTTCCTCTTCTGTGTTTTGTATGTTTTATTATGAGGTCTTTCACATTTTGTTAAATTTATATCTCAATTTTTTTTGTTACTGAAAGTTTAAAATTTTCCACTTATGTTTTGCTAGTATGTAGAAAGAGAATTAATATTCCTTAATTTTTGACCGTGTATTCTGTTGCTTTTTAAAAAATCATGTATTCTGGCACTTTTTTGTAGATTTCTTAGGATTTTCTGTTACACAAACCTCCAATTACGTTATACTTCCACTATAATTTTAATAGCGGTTTAGAAAGCAGACATTTGGCTTTTTTCTCTGTCTTCGAAAGAACACATTTTTATTTTACCATGACGTGTGATATCACACAATAGATGTTTCATCAATTTCAAGAAGCTTTCTTCCTGGATTTTTGTGAGTTTTTATGAATGAATGCCAAATTTTGATACCATTCTTCAATATCCACTGATGTAATGATATTTCTCCTTTTAATCAGCTAATATTATTTAATTACATTGTATGATTTTTGTGGTGGTTGAATCAACTTTGCATTCCTGGAATTAAAAAAAAAAAGTCAGGGTCTCTCGCTCTGTCACCCAGGCTGGAGTGCATTGGTACAGTCATGACTCACTGCTCACTCAAGTGATCCTCCCACCTCAGCCTCTCGTTTTAGCTGGGATACAGGTGCTCACCACCACGTTTGCCTAATTTTTATTCATTGTAGAGACACGGTCTTGCCATATTGCCCAAACTGGTCTCAAACTCCTGAGCTCAAGCAATCTGCCTGCCTCAGCCTCCCAAAGTGCAAGCTACCATGTCTGGCTTATTTTATAGTTAATTCCTAATTAAAATCTATGGCAGAGCTGGACATGGTGGTCTTTCCCCGTAGTCCTAGCTGTTCAGTGAGAGGATTGCTGGAAACCAAGGACATTGAGGCTTCAGTGAGCCATGATCGCACCAGTGGACTACAGCCTGGGCTAAGGAGTGAGACCCTGATTCAAAAAAACCCAAAATCATTCACTGAAAATCTAGTCTTTTGAAATTTATTCACACTTGGCCAGGCACGGCCTGTAATCCCATGCCTGTAATCCCAGCACTTCGGGAGGCCGAGGCGGATGGATCACCTGAGGTCAGGAGTTCAAGACCAGCCTGGACAACATGGTGAAACCCCATCTCTACTAAAAACACACACAAAAAATTAGCCGGGTGTGGTGGCGGGCACCTGTAGTCCCAGCTACTCAGGAGGCTGAGGCAGGAGAATCACTTGAACCCGGGAGGTGGAGGTTGCATTGAGCCGAGATTGCGCCATTGCACTCCAGCCTGGGCAACAAGAGCGAAGCTCTGTCTCAAAAATAAAAAAAATTATTCATACTTGTTTTATTACACAGCATATAGTTTATTTTGGTGAACGTTTGCTTGTACTACTGGAAAAGGACATGTGTTGTACAGTTTTTGAGTCTTAGTGTTGTATAAATTTGTTTGTTTGTTTTGTTTCTGAGACAGAGTCTGGGCTCTGTTGCCCAGGTTGGAGTGCAGTGGTGTGATCTCAGCTCACTGCAACCTCAGCCCCTAGGATTCTAGTGATTGTCCTGCCTCAACCTCCTGAGTAGCTGAGATTACAGGTGCCCGCCACCACGCTTGGCCAGTGTTTTTGTATTTTTAGTAGAGACGGGGTTTTGCCATGTTGGCCAGGCTGGTCTCGAACTTCTGATCTCAGGTGATCCACCCGCCTCGGCCTCCCAAAGTGCTGATTATAGGCATGAGCCGCCTCGCCTGGCCTTTTTTTTTTTTTTTTTTTGAGACGGCATCTTGCCCAGTCACCCAGTCTAGAGTGCAGTGGCATGATCTCGGCTCACTGCAACCTCCGCCTCTTGAGTTCAAGTGATTCTCCTGCCTCAGCTTCCCGAGTAGCTGGAATTACAGAAGTGCACCACTATGTCTGGCTAATTTTTGTATTTTTATTAGAGATAGAGTTTCAGTGTGTTGCCCAGGCTGGTCTTCTAACTCCTGACCTCAAGTGATCTGCACACCTCAGCCTCCTAAAGTGCTGGGATTATAGGTTTATAGGTGTGAGCCACTGCGCCTGACCTTTTTTTTTTTTTTTTTTTTTTTTTGAGACAGTCTTGCTCTGTTGCCCAGGCTGGAGTGCACAGTCTCTGCTCACTGCAACCTCTGCCAGGTTCATGTGATTCTCCTGCTTCAGCCTCCCTAGTAGCTGGGATTACAGGTGCCTTCCACCATGCTCAGCTAAGTTTTGTATTTTTAGTAGAGACAGGGTTTCACTATGTTGGCCAGGCTGGTCGGAACTCCTGACCTTTGGTGATCTGCCTGCCTTGTCCTTCCAAAGTTCTGGGATTACAAGCATGAGCCACTGCGCCTGGATGACAAAGTAACTTTTATTGAACCACTATAGGGACAGATGCTGAGGGTGAAGTAGAAAACAGGCATTCAATTTTCCAGTGTATGATTTTATGCATAATATAGCATTGTTTTAATTGAGATATACTTCACATAACATAAAATTAATTATTTAAAAGTGCATACTTGCATTGCCACCCAGACTGGAATACAGCTGTGCAATCATAACTTATACAGCCTTCACCTCCTAGGCTCAAGCGTTTCTCCTGCCTCAGCCTCCCTAGTAGCTAGGACTTACAAGCATGAGCCACTACACCCAGTTATAAGGGCATTAATCCCATTCTTGAGGGGCCTATCCTCCTGACTTAATTATTTTCCAAAGGCCTCACTTCTAAATGCCAGGACACTACAGTTGGGTTTCAACATAAGAATTTTATGGGCACACATTTTTTTCTGTTACTATGTGTTTAGCTCATCAAATATATTTAGAATCACTGTTAACTAGTTGAGGTTAAAATACAAGAAATTTAGCACTTTAAACAGGTTTTTTTTGGGGGGGGGATGAAGTATTTACCCATATAACAAAGGACTAGAATACTAAAAATGTATAAAGAGTCTGAACCCCTTAGACTAAGTATTTACTGTTGATTATGTCAGATTGGTAACTTGTTAGAAATACATGGCCAAGAAGTGTGTGAACAGATGGTCACTTAAAGATAGGCAAGTTCTTCAGATCACTGTTTTCATCAATAAGATTTTTAAAACCTAAAAGGTAGATGGAAAAGTGTGAAAGTTTTGAAGAATGAGTACTATCAAATGCTGTTGATGGAAAGTGTAAATTAATGAAGACGTTTAACGCAATTTGGCTGTATTTTTTTTTGTTGTTGTTTTTTGTTCTTTTTGAATCTGAGTCTCGCTGTATTGTCCAGGCTGGAATGCAGTGGCGCAGTCTCACTCATTGCAACCTCCACCTCCCAGGTCAAGTGAGTCTCTTGCCTCAGCATCCTGAGTAGCTGGGATTACAGATGCACACCACCATGTCAAGCTAGTTTTTGTATTTTAGTATAGACGGAATTTCACCATGTTGGCCAGGCTGGTCTCAGACTCCTGACCTCAAATGATACACCTGCCTCAACGTCCCAAAGTGCTGGGAATACAGGCATGAGCCATTTCACCCGGTCTTGACTGTGTTTTTAAAATTTTATAATGTGTACCTTTAGTTGCAGTGTTTTATTTTTAGAATTTATCTTAAATAATTACATGTGCCCACAATGATAATTACAAAAGAATGTTTTTGAACAGTGAAATATTCAAAATAAACATGGTTTCCACAAATGTAGGGCCAGTTAACTTACATCCACCCATGGACACAGTGAACTTTTAAAAATGAAAGAAATGTAATGTAACTTAAAGTTCTTACGTGGAAAGGTCAGTGCTAAGAACTAAGCACAGTATTGATAACATTTACATAGAGTTAAAAAACCCTCAGGATATATTTTGACGTCCATATGGATGTATAAAAGATTTGTTTGGCCAGACGCAGTGGCTCATGTCTGTGATCCCAGCATTTTGGGAGGCTGATGTGAGTGGATTGCATGAGCTCAGGAGTTCGAGACTAGCCTAGGCAACGTGGTGAAACCATGTTTCTATAAAAAATAAAAAAGTTATCTAGGTATGGTGGCATGTGCCCGTAGTCTAATTCCTTGGGAGCCTGAGATCAAAGGATTGCTTGAGCCTGGGAGGTCAAGGCTGTGGTGAGCCATGATCGCACCACTGCACTCAAGCCTGGGCGACAGACTGTGTCCCTGTCTCAAAACAAACTGAAAAGGTATTAGTTCTTCCTTAATTTTTTTTTAAATGAATGAATGGAATATAAGTGAGAATCAAAACAAATGCATCATAAACTTCAATAAAAAAACTTTGTGGAAGCAATTGAAAGATTATTTTCATGTTTTGTTGAGTATTTTGTATTGTTTACTTTTATGATGAAAATACATAGTGCTTGGGTAATTAGAATATAGTCTACTAAATATTTCATATCTGGACTTATGATTTTTACCTGAAAATATTGAATTGTGTTGCAGTTGTAGTGAGATGCATGTCATTTAATCGTGTCCTATTCTGTTTTCTTTCTAAAAAGAAGTACAACTTTCCCACATAAGCATAACTCTTTTGCTTTTCTAGTGAACCTAAAGAAAGATAGTGAAAATACACCTGTTAAAGGAGGAACTGTAGCGGATCTAGGTAAGCACCCCCCCCCCCCAAAATATACAATGGTCTGTGCTTTCTCTCTTGAATATGTCATCTCCTTTGATAGTCTATTCTTTCTTTATTTTTATCTGTTTTTTAGAGACAAGGTCTTGTTCTGTTGGTAACCTGGAGTGCAGTGGTGTAATGTAGACCACCACAGCTTTAAACGTCTGGGCTCCAGCGATTTTCCCACCTTAGTCTTCCAAGTAGTTTGGATTGTAGGCACATACCACCATGCCCAGCTTGATACACTCCTTTTCTTTTTTTTTTCTTGAGACAGAATCTCGCTCTGTTGCCCAGGGTAGAGTGCAGTGGCACGACCTCGGCTCTCTGCGAACTCTGCCTCCTGGGTTTAAGCAATTCTCCTGCTTCAGCCTCCTGAGTAGCTGGGATTACAGGCACGCGCCACCACGCCCAGCTAATTTTTGTATTTTTAGTAGAGATGGGGTTTCACCATGTTGATCAGGCCTGTCTCGAACTCCTGACCTCATGATCTGCCTGTCTCGGCCTCCCAAAGTGCTGGGATTACAGGCGTGAGCCGCCGTGACAGGCGGATACTCCTTTCTTAAGTGAGACTTGTGCTTAACCACTGCAGGATATTAGCTGTGGCTTACTCTTAGTGCCATTATGATTTGGGTAGCTACTGTTGTAGGAAAGTTAATTTCCTGTGATCCATTGTTGCCATTCTTAGTGATCTCCCCCTGTTGGAGCATATTTTTCTACAAACTAGCAAAGGTGGTAATATTATAATTGAATATGAATATGAGTTTTAACGAAATAGTTCTAATTAAAGTGCTTTTTCAAATGTCGCTGAAAGAATTGTTTTTGTAACATGCAAATTGATATTGTATTAGAACAAAAATCTGTGGAGTGTTAATACTTTGTAAGCCAAATTAAAGTTTCTAAGCAGTATGAAATGAGAATGACATCATCTTTTCCTAGTATTTCCAAGTCTTAGAGTACATTTTCACAAGTAAGGTGTAATTCTTGAGTGATTTTGCAGGAAAATAGAGAAAAGTATAATCACTTGTTCTCTTTAAAAATTAAATAGGGGTAGTTTTAAACATCTTTGTTCTGGAGAGTTGTGGATGAGACAATAGCCTTGATTTCTTTTATTCACTTGTAAAGGAGAACCTAATGTTTTCAGTATATACTAAATGTTTGACTTTATGGAATTTTAAACGTGAAAGGGATTTTCAAGATCTCCTTTTTTAGAAAATGAGATGTCAATTCTATCTTCTAATTAAGGAATTCTGTATTTGAATAAATTGCAGTCATTATTATTTTCTGAGATGGAGTCTCGGTCTGTTACCAAGGCTGGAGTGCAGTGGCACAATCTTGGCTCACTGCAACCTCCTCCTCCCGGGTTCAAGTGATTCTCCTGCCTCAGCCCCGAGTAGCTGGGACTACAGGCACGTGCCACCATGCCCAGCTAATTTTTGTATTATTAGTAGAGATGGGGTTTCACCAGGTTGGCCAGACTGATCTCGAACTCCTGACCTCAGGTGATCCACCCACCTCAGTCTCCCAAAGTGCTGGGATTACAGGTGTGAGCTTTCGCGCTAGGCAATTACAATTACTATTGATGGCAGATATGAGTGGGTATTTTGGATAGTGATCCATCAACTGTAAATTTTTGTTCTCAGAGCTGTTGTATTTTGTTTTTTGTTTTGAGACGAAGTCTCGCTCTTGTCACCCAGGCTGGAGTGCAGTAGTGTGATCTCGGCTCATTGCAACCTCCACTTCCCAGGTTCAGGTGATTCTCCTACCTCAGCCTCCCAGCTAGCTGGGATTACAGGCACCTGCCACCATGCCTGGCTAATTTTTGTATTTTTAGTAGAGACAAGGTTTCACCATGTTGGCCAGGCTGATCTTGAAATTCTGACCTCAGGCGACTCACCCACCTCAGCCTCCCAAAGTGCTGGGATTACAGGCGTGAGCCACCGTGCCTGACCAGAGCTGTTGTTTTAACTGCTCTGTGTTCTGCCTTATATGCTACCTCGTCAAATATAGGTCTTTCATTCTTCAGGTCTCTGAAGGATTCAGTTGTTTGGTGTGGAGCATATTTTCTCACATCTGAAAGAAGGAAGAGAACATTTATTGAATATTACCATTTAGGGATCAGCTAATTTAGTATTATCAGACATATCTTTCCATTGAGTACCAAGACTACCTTGGGGAATGAAATTTGTCAGACTAAAAATGTGTAATTTGAGTAATGGGAGAGATTATTAAGTCAAACTAATAGTTTCTAGTAAGAGGTTGGTTATCCTATGGTTTACCATTGTCCAATGGACCAAGTGTTTGTTTTTGGCAGCCTTACCTAGATTTCTTTCTGTTAGTTACTTCCTAGATAAAAATAGTCACTATGCAGAGCTGCAGAACTCCTACTGGTAATTAATACAGTATTTTTTTCACATCCAGAATCGCCTATTCCTTGTTAGCAAGTATTTGTGACTAACTCACACATTAAGCCACCATGTCCATCTCTGGGTGGCATGAGTAGTTGTCAGATCTTGTTCTACATGTGTTTGCACTTCACTATTAAACTGTTGTGTTTTATTGGTGAGGAAATGGAGATTTAAATAAGTTCAGTAACCTCTTTCCAAATATTTTGCAGAACCCCGATTTCGGTCCTGGTCTGTCTTACGTTTCCTGCCAGTGCTTTGTATCACTGCACTTGGCTGTTGTGGTTTGTCTGTTTTGCTCAGCCTTTATGTGTTTTCATAGTGGCTTTCTGTTTTGTGAAGTCACCAAACCAATCCAACTGGAGGCCCTTTGATTTGGTTCTTTCCTTTTTGTGGAATAATTACCTTGTCTTTCTCATCTCTTAACATTTCAACTTAAAGGCCAACTTTTCAGAGATACCTCTTTACTTGCTCTGAAGTGTCCGCCTACCCACTTCCTCTCTAATATATTTATGTTTATTCTTTGTATAGCATTTTTCAAAATCTGATAAATTTCTGTTTATTTTTGCTATATCCCATACCAGCCACCAAAAGTGTTGGTATAATAGCTGTGAGCGACCACACCCTACCCCCTTTTTTTTTTTTTAAATAAGAGATAAGATCTTGCTCTGTTGCCTAGGCTAGACTTGGACTCCTGGCCTTGAGTGATTCTCCCACTTCTGTCTCCAGAGTAGCTGGGACTGTAGATGTGCACTGCTGCACCCAGCATCCCATGTTCTTTTTGAACTTCATCATGCCTTACCTAGTGCCAGCTGTCACAGTAGTCATAAAAAGCTTAAATACTACAGGCATATAATAACGTAATTTGTTGTTCTTTAATACTACCTCTTTCCTATTCTGTATTGGCAGTTTTGCTTTTCACTGTGGAAATCAACTGTCTAGTTTATAAATTTTACCTGGGCTTTCTCTCATGCTGAGCCCTGTATCCTCAGAAGGCATTGTCTTACTAAGATTATTAAGGGATTGGTTATCACTTGTTTTTTTATTCATCATTCTTTACTCAATTCTTTTGGAACCCAAAAGGTTGTTATTTTAGCAAAACCCAGGAGACAAGAATCATAATCAAGTCCTGTATCTGTTACTAAGATCATGACTATGATATTAGCTCAAGTAGTAATTAAATTCCCTACTGTTTGAAATTTTTAATGATCTTTGCTTTGAATTTCTAATTACGTCTGTGATTCTGTGTAAAATTCTAATTTAGTGAATTATTCAGAGTGATTTTGCTTTTATAATGCTCTATTTCATTCCTTTTCTTTGTCCAGTATCAGTTCTTACACCATTAATTTTCCAAATAACCCAAAGAACATTTACCTGTTTCGAAAATGAATTGTGTGTTTTGGTTTTGCAGATGAGCAGGATGAAGAAACAGTCACAGCAGGAGGAAAGGTAACATTCAGTTAAGCCTGTTGTGAGAGAGCTTCTCTAAGGGTCCTGTGTACCGAACAGTAGAAGCACTGAATTGTACGTAGCCCAATTTTTGGACTATGAGGCCCTTCTGGTTTTTAAATTTTTCTTTTTTCTTTTTTTTTTTTTTTTAGTTTTCCCCCCAAGGAAAACAAATACAGCATAAGAACCATTTCTGGAAGGTGTTTTTGTTAGTTTTTTGTTTTGAGACAGGCTGTCAGCTCACCGTAACCTTGACCTCCTGGGCTCAGGTGATCCCTCTCCCACCTCAGCCTCCCGAGTAGCTGAGACTACTTGTGTGCACCACTACACCCAACTAATTTTTTATTTTTTGTAGAGATGGAGTTTTTCTATGTTGCCCAGGCTGGTTGCGAACAGCTGGGCTCAAGCAGTCTGCCTGCCTCAGCCTCCCAAAGTGATGGGATTTCAGGTGACAACCACTGCACTTGGCAAAATACTTGACTTTCTTGGACCCCAAGATTTTACTTAGAGGAAATTTTCATCCTCCCTGCTAGTGTCCCTGATGTGCTATGATTTGAAAAAACAAAAATAAAAGTTACTTAGTCAAAGAGCCACTTATTAATGAACATTACTTGTGCAAAAAGATATTATTTAAAGTAAATAGTGACTGGCACCTATAACCTCAGCATTTTGGAAAGCTGAGATGGGAGGATTTCTTGAGGTTAGGAATTCTATGCTGGCGTGAGCCAAAATTCTGCCACTGTGCTCTAGCCTGGGCGACAGTGCAAGACACTCTGTCTTTTTTTAATGTAAAGTGTTGAGTGCAGTGGCTATGTATGTAATCCTAGTTCTTTGAGAGGCCAGGTGGGAGAATCACTTTTAGCCCAGGAGTTGAAAACCAGCCAGCACAACATGGGGATACCCTGCGTCTCCAAAAACTTAAAAAATTAGCTTGGTGTGGTGACATCTGCCTGTGGTCCCAGCTAAAAAGGAAAGTCAAATTCCTTCATTTTAATGCCAAAGATAAGAGGATTTGAAGCCATGTACCAGTCGTTTATATAGCTTAAAAGGATTAAAGGTATTGTCTCTAAAGCAGTCTCCCAGAATGTCATCCTCCTTATTGTTTTCTGATTGAGGTCATTACAACTTATACTGTTGTCCTTCATTAATTGCAATGCCAGCCTCTTCCTGTTTTTTCTGAGTAAGGAAAATATTTTGTGTCCTAAATGATTTGTAAAGTCTATGCCACAAAAATGTATTAACTAAAGCCATAATAAAAAGAGGTCAGCCTTGAGAATATTTTTTGCTAGCTTCTGTGATTTGGGAAATAAAATTTGTTACCCTTGTCATCGTTATTATCACGTTTGTATTCGATATCATTTAAGTAATAACTAGAGTCCTTGGTGTTTTCAGCTTTAAATTTATTCCTTTTTACTATTCTTATAGAAACTGTTAAGTTTATAGGTAGTACACTAGATCGTCATTTCAGATACTGAACAGGAAATTTAGGTTGAATTAAGTTAAAGGTAGAAATTAAATTTTGGAACCATTGTAAAAGAAAACTGATTTAAAATTTGGGTTTTTGCTTATTTTATTTTTTTGAGACAGGGTCTTGCCTAGGCTGGAGTGCTGTGCAGTGGTGGAAACACAGCTCACTGCAGCCTTGACCTCCTATGCTCAAGCAGTCCTCCTGACTTCAGTCTCTCAAGTAGCTGGGACTGCAGGCATGCACCACTATATCCAGCTAATTTCTAAATTTTTAGTAGAGACAAAGTCTGACTGTGTTGCCCAGGCTGGTCCTGATCTTTTGGTCTCAAGTGATCCTCCTGCCTCAGTCTCCCAAGTGTTGGAATTACAGGTGTGAGACACCTTGCCCAGCCCATAATTTGTTTTTTTAATAGAAAACAATTTCATAAGGTTACAAATAATAAAATCACCACAGAGAGAAAATTGGAGAACATTTCAGTATCAAAAAACGTATTTAAAATACGTTTAAATGTATGCGATAAGAATGTATATCAAGTAAACATTTACTTTAGATTAAGTAAAACTGGGCGAGGAAGAAGCAAGCTGTTATGGAATGAGATCTAGGTTATGAGTTATTTATTTAGTCTGAAGTCCTGTGCATTGAAACAGACTTTCTTCAATCAACTTGTTAATCTTATTATGAGAGACCTACCTTCTCTGCATTGGTTCCCTCATTATCATAAATGAGCAACAAAACCTTATCTGTCAGCTGGCTACCTTGTACCTTAAACCTTAAATACTGTGAAAGGTTGTTTTTACTTGAAATTTGTTTTTCGGATATCTGATTGAATCAGGGAGCTTCATTTTATTTAACCTAACAACTAAAGTGTGAGAGATGTTATATATAGATACATATGTATCAATAGATAGATAGATAGATAGATAGATAGATAGATAGATAGATAGATATCTGTAGTTCTTTCTTTCTTTCCACTTTGTCTTCTTTTCTGTAGGAAGATGAAGATCCTGCCAAAGGTGATCAGAGTCGATCAATTGACCCTGGGGAAGATAATGTGACAGAGCAGACTAATCACATTATTATTCCTAGTTATGCATCATGGTTTGATTATAACTGGTGAGTGACCACTTCATCTGTGAGCATGGTACTGAGCAGTACAAGAACTTTCCTTCAAATCAGGTTGTGCCTTTCTGCCCATGTTCCTCGTCAGAAATTACTGTCACCTTTGACGAAGGGAGATGGAAAGTGATTTTTATCTTTGGAATGTGTTTATGGGTTTTTTTTGTTTGTTTTTTTGTTGAGACAGAGTCTTGCTCTGTCACCCTGGCTGGAGTGCAGTGGTGTGATCTCAGCTCACTGCAGCCTCCCCCTCCCGGGTTCACGGATGTCTTTACATCACATCACTGCACTCTAGCCAGGGTGACAGAGCAAGACTCTGTCTCAACAACAACAAAACAAACAAAAAAACACAAACACATTCCAAAGATAAACAGAATTTTTTTTAAAGTGGGCTCTTCCTCACCTGTAACAATGAAAACATTGGGAGTTATATTAGAATTATGTAATTAGTTCCTTACGGTTATTCTTTTAGAAGTCATTATGTATATTTATATAGCATTAATTCATCTTAGAAATTGTTTTTCTAGAAGTTTGCAGGTAATTCATTGTATTTATAGTATTTTACCGTGCAAATCCAATTTAATTTAAATGTTACCAAATACTCAAAGAGTGAATAATTTGAGTTATATTCCCAGACCATCGATTTGCTCTTTGCCATGCAACCAATACTTACATGTTGCATATCTGGAAAGCCACTGAGAAACTTAAAATGTCATCAGGAAGATGACACTTGTATTAGCAGCAGAAACTTTTTGCTAGATATACAGTTGGTTCATTTTTATACCGTTAGGCCTGATCATTTTACCTGATCTTTGCTTATGACCTGTAACATTTCATAAAATTATTAGCATTTGTATATATTGTTAAAATGTACTTCTATGATATTATTAAAAGCAATTGATACTGAAAATTTTAAAAAATTAATTTATCTCCCCAGCACCTCCACCAAAACTAAAAACTAAAAAGTAATTTATCACAGTGTTTCTGAGGGCTGGACAAAGGCTCATTTATGTTAACAGCCTGAGAAGCTGAGACTTGCAAATTTATTGTCTATTCTGGTCATTTGTTTCATCAGTTTGTTGCCATGCCATGCCAGCTACTTTGTTATTGTCAACATTTTTCAAAGAATTCTTCGTATCTTGTGGCTTCTTATCTAGTTATGATGTATTACGTCAAAAAATAATAAAATGTATAGTTTTCAGTGTGTCGATAGTAGTTTTTTAGTTTGGTTATGGGAATAGGAAAACTACAGTAAGTATTGGGAGTAAGAAAGAGAAGGCTTTCCTTAACTTTCTTGTATGCTGTTAATACATAGAAACTAGTGTAAGCCAATTAATTTTGGCAAGCGGTACTGAGGTTTTGGATTTATCACTTTTACTTAGAATATTTAATGATTTTATTCTTTTAAAAAGAAGGCTCCTAAACCTTTTTTTTTTTCTTCTTCTTTTCAGTATTCATGTGATTGAACGGCGTGCTCTTCCTGAGTTCTTCAATGGAAAAAACAAATCCAAGACTCCAGAAATGTGAGGCCAGTGTTTTAGAAAACTTGTTTATTTGCCTGTGTGTGGTAGGGCCTCTTCAAGCATCCACCTGAGTTTCTTATTGCTGATTCTTGGAAGTTTGCAAATACTCCTTTCAGAACAGTGTTCATATCTCATTTGTATAGCATTCCATGGTACAAAGGAAATTGTATCTAGTTTTGTTTTCTGTTTTTTGGGGGTTTTTCTTTCGTGTTTTTTTGAGACAGGGTCTCACTCTGTTGCCCAGGCTGGTGTGCGGTGTCATGATCTTGGCTCACAGCAATCTCTGCCTTCTGGACTGAAAGGATCCTCCCACCTCAGCCTCTTCAGTAGCTGGGAGAACAGGCACATGTCACCACACCTGGCTGATATCTATCTGTCTGTCTGTCTGTCTGTCTATCTATCTATCTATCTATCTATCTATCTATTTTTTGGCAGAGATGGGGGTTTCACCATGTTGCCTAGGGTATTCTTTTATTTCTAAACCTTGAACTGTATGGACATCAGCTCTTGGAGTTTAAGTTTGGATTTTAAACCAATTTTTACTATAATGAATTCAGGCTTATCCTCACAACTTACCCTTTTTTTTTTTTTTTTTTTTTTTATTGAGATGGAGTCTCACTCTGTCGCTCAGACTTGGGGTACAATGTTGCAATCTTGGCTTGCTTCAGCCACCACCTCCTGGGTTCAAGCTATTCTCCTGCCTCAGCCTCCCAAGTAGCTGGGACTACGGGCATGCACCACCACACCTGGCTAATTTTTGTATTTTTAGTAGAGATGGGGTTTCACCATGTTGGCCAGACTGGTCTCGAACTCCTGACCTCAAGTGATCCACTTGCCTCGGCCTCTCAAAGTGCTAGGATTATAGGCATGAGCCACCACGCCCGGTCTGTCCTAACAACTTTCAGCTTGTGTGTGCATGTATGTTATGGATTGTTTCTATTCATCCAGGAGAAAATGAATCTTTATCTTCCTGATGCATGAGTGCTAATTAAAAGAGAGACATGGTGATATAGCTACATGTGAATTAAGCTTAATTACATAAAGGATTTTTGTGCTTTTGCATTGGAAATAGAGAAACTCTTATTGGAAGGAAGAAGTTTGGCAGAAAGTACTTTTTGTCTTTCCCTGATGATTCATCAGTATATACTTCTGGAACACTTGTCCCTATATATAAGTACACACCTTTCAGTACTGTAGATACGCTCCCATGTATTAATCAGGGTATAATCTGTTGATTTTTTTTTTTTTTTTTTTTTGTGGCGGGGGGACAAAGTCATTCCGTCACACGGGCTGGAGTGCAGTGGCATGATCTTGGCTGCCTGAGTTTTGTTTTTCTTGTGTGCCAAGAACTGTTGCTAGGTCTCAAAGTCCTTAACACTCTTGTTATTAAGTACTGTATTTTGTGACAGAAGTCATTGGAATCTGCTGTAACAGAATCTCAGTCTCTCTCTCCATTTTCGTATGTTCTTTTCTGGATTTGGTCTCATGGATTCTACTTGTTGCCCAGCCATGATCTCCCTTAAAGAACTGCCACGAGAAGTTACATAGCTATTTTCAGAGCCAAATCCACGTGCCACATTTGAAATACAGAAGTGATAGGCAACAGAGGTTGAGAGCATAGATTGAAGAGCCACCACACTGGGTGCGATGAATTCTGGCTCCATCAATTACCAACCCTGTGGCTAGGACAAATTCTCTAACAACTCAGTGTTTGTTTCCTCACCCATAGATGGGATGATAGCAGACCCTACCTGCAATATGGAGCGATTATGAGGATTCAGTTGTCAGACATACATTGCTTATAACAGTGCCCTGCACACAGTAAAGTATAGATATGTGGTAGTGAGGCAGATAGCCTATGTAACCATGTGTTAGTTTCAAATTCTGCAGTTAACTACCACCATGACCAAGTTTGAATTTATGTTACTTCACATGAATGTTGTTACATTACTTGTTATTATACATTAGTAAACAGTTGTTTTGCATATTTGTGGTTCTAAATTCACTCATAACTTAATATGCAATATAATATCACCGTTTTTTTATGCTCTTGTCTTAATTTATTGTATTTCTAAGGAATCTGAAGATTTTTGAGTTTCTGAGTAACATTGTTTCTGAAAGGATACGTGTCCACCTTATGAATTTTGCCATTGCTTTTTAGATACTTGGCATATCGAAATTTTATGATTGACACGTATCGCCTAAACCCCCAAGAGTATTTAACTAGCACTGCTTGTCGGAGGAACTTGACTGGAGATGTGTGTGCTGTGATGAGGTAAAATGTTTGACTTTTTCTGAGACATTTAACTGTAGGAATTTACTTATGCTTTGCTGTCATATTAAACTGGTTGTTTCAACTGGGTAAAACACCTAATTTTAGTTGTGTCATTTAGGGGTGGATTATATTTTGTTTCCTTTCGTTTCATTCAATTTATTTTATTTTTATTTTATTTTATTAATTTAATTTTATTGTCGAGATGGGATTTCATAATGTTGCCAAGGCTGGTCTCAATCTCCTGGCCTCAAGCAATTCTCCTGCCTCGGTCTCCTGAAGTATTGTGATTGCAGGCGTGAGCACTGTGTTCAGCATTAGAGGTTGAAAATTTAAAATATTTAATTTAGGCTGGGTGCAGTGGCTTACGCCTATATTCCCAGCACTTGGAGAAGCCAAGGTGGGCGGATCACCTGAGGTCAGGAGTTCGAGCCTGGCCAATATGGTGAAACCCCTTCTCTACTAAAAATATAAAAATTAGCCGAGCGTGGTGGCACATGACTGTAATCTTAGCTATTGGGGAGGCTGAGGCAGGAGAATTCAGGAGGCAGAGATTGCAGTGAGCTGAGATTGTCCCACTGCATTCCAGCCTGGGCGACAGAGCGAGATTGTGTCTCAAAAAAATAAAATAAGTAAGATAAATATTTAATTTAGTTTTCTAGATTTTACAGTTCACATTTTAATTTTTTTAGTCAAATCATAAAATAACCAGGGAAGGAGTAGATTCAGGTTGGGAGTGGATAAACTCTGCGCCCTAGCTCTGCCAAAAAAAAAACAAAAAAAAAACCCGCCAGGTACAGTGGCTCACACCTGTAATCCCAGCACTTTGGGAGGCCGAGGTGGGTGGATCACCAGAGGTCAGGAGTTCGAGACCAGCCTGGCCAACATGGTGAAAGCCTGTTTCTACTAAAAATACCAAACATTAGCTGGGCATGGTGACGGGCACCTGTACTCTCAGCTACTTGGGAGGCTGAGGCAGGAGAATCGCTTGAACCGAGGAGGCTGAGTAGGTTGCAGTGAGCTGAGATTGCACCATTGCACTCCAGCCTGAGAGACAGAGCGAGACTCTGTCAAGAAAAATGTGGATTTTTTCTATGTGTGTATTTGGTCTGTGTGTGGGTTCTTTTATTACCATGGACCTAAATGCGTATTTGTGCTCTCATTTCTGTGATTTAAATGATTAAACTTTGTAATAGGTTTGGGGGGTGCTGTGTTATCAACATTATTTGTGGCTTGTAGAAATTGTTCCCTACATAACAAACAAAATCTGTCAAGTAATTTGTGGTGTTTGATAGCCTGCTGAGCACATTTACTTGTTTTATTGTTTCTGTTTTTTAATGGTGTAATGATGATAATAAAGCACATGAAATTGATTCTTTAGATTTTAACTTTCCGAGCTTTATTCTTTAGGGTCCATGCCTTTTTAGAGCAGTGGGGACTCGTTAATTACCAAGTTGACCCGGAAAGTAGACCTATGGCAATGGGACCTCCTCCTACTCCTCATTTTAATGTATTAGCTGATACTCCCTCTGGGCTTGTGCCTCTGCATCTTCGATCACCTCAGGTAAATTAATGTTGACTTTTCATCAGACCTGAATAGTAACAAATGTCTGTTTATAGCATATCTATTTAGGAATGCTGTTGTTAGTGCTGTTTCTTTGATGCTTGTTTGTATGTGTGTTTTGGTGTACTGTAAATATTATAGTCCAAAAGAATATATAGTGTTTAAGTTAATGCTGTCCCACCAATCCCAAAACCCAATGCCTTAGTCTATCAAATTATTAATTTACTTTTATATGCATAACTCCCTTTATCCTTCTGTCATCAAAAAGACACACATAAGTAAGCAGATGATGCAAAATCTTCTTTCCCTTCCTTCAGTCTGTGTTCTAGAAACGTGAAGCAAAGAAATCTTTATAACTTGTCCTAAGATTTGTAAAGTGGACATCCATATATACATTATCAAACAGATTATGTCAGACAAATTCTGTATAGCATTAAGTTGGATTCACAGGAACCTAAGGTATAAATTTTGTTCCATTGTGAAATAGAATATAGTAATGAAAATTTGTTATCCTTTCTGGACTTAAGGGACACCAAAATGTAACTTGTATGTTGAATTTTTGTTAGAAGTATAGTGTAGAAATGTGGGTATTTATTGTTTTTCGTAGGAAATCCACCAAGAGTGGCTTAAGTTCCAATATTAACCTTTTTTTTTTTTTTTTTTTTTTTTTTTTTTTGGAGACAGAGTCTGTCTCTGCTCCCCAGGCTGGAGTGTAGTGGCATGATCTTGGCTCACTGCAATTTCCGCCTCCGGGTTATAAGCAATTCTACTGCCTCAGTCTCCTGAGTAGCTGGGATTATAGTCACATGCCACAACGCCCAGCTAATTTTTGTATTTTTAGTAGAGATGGGGTTTCACCATTTTGGTCAGGCTGGTCTTGAGCTCCTAACCTTGTGATCCGCCCGCCTCGGCCTCCCGAAGTGCTGGGATTACAGGCATGAGCCACCGCGCCCGGCCTAAACAAATTTTAAAAAACGTTTACCCTCTTGACTTTAAAGAGGCTAACTCAGCCGTTTATCATTTATTTGACTCAGGTTCCTGCTGCTCAACAGATGCTAAATTTTCCTGAGAAAAACAAGGAAAAACCAATTGATTTGCAGAACTTTGGTCTACGTACTGATATTTACTCCAAGAAAACATTAGCAAAGGTAAGGATTTTTTTTCTAATCACATGTAGGCTACAATCCAGCACATCTTAGTCCTTCTAAGATACATCTGATGAGCTTTCTACTCAAATCTGATGGTATTTTTAAAAACAATTATGATTTATCTTACCTTTTATATTCCCATATGACTTAGTAGATAGGTATTTTAAAAATAACACTATTAGAGAAATTCGATGGGAAAATGGAGAATTTGAAGAGAGAATTGGAATCTGTAAAAAGAATCATGAATATTTTAGAACTGAAAAGTATACTTGAAATTATTTGATAGGTTTAACAACAGACTGCATACAGCAGAAGACAGGTTAGTGAACTCAGAGACAAATTAGTAGATATATTGAAACTGAAGTACCAAGAGAAAAAGAAATTGGATTGAGGTAGGGAGGGGCCAGGACAGAGAGGAGAGTGGAAAAGATACGTGAGATACAGTTCAGGCTGGACATGGTGGCTCACACCTGTAATTTCAGCACTTTGGGAGGCCAAGGCAGGAGGATCCCTTGAGCTCTGGAGTTTGAGACCAGCCTGGACAATATAGCAAGACTGTGTGTCTCTATTATTAGAAGAAGAAAAAGAAAAAAGAATGATAGAGTCCAAAGAATTAATGTTTGTCATTAGAGACCCATAAGAGAACGAATGAAGGAGGAGTGATACTTGAATATATAATGGCCAAAAAGATGTTGGAACAAATTAAAAGATACCAACTCAAAAAACAAGAAAGACAGAGCCAGGCCAGGCTCAACACTTTGGGAGACCAGGGCAGTAGGGTTGCCTGAGGCCAGGAGTTCAAGAGAAGCCTTGCCTCTACTGAAAAACACACACAAAAAGAACAGATCCAGATTTATATATAGAGAAAATCACACTCGGGTACTTTATGCTTAATCTCTTAAAAACTAACATCTTAAAAGCAGACATGGAGGGTGGGGATAAGGGTAGAGAAGAACATACTAAATTCAAAAGAATAATAATAAAACCGATAGCTGACTTTTCAACAAAAATGATTAAAGCCAAAGGACAAATACAATAACATTTTTAAATTGTAAAAGAAAAAATATCTCTCTGGAATTCTGTATCCAGTAGATACTACTTTCAAAATTGAACGTGAAATAAAGACGTTTGTAGGCATTCTTAATGTAGAAAAGTTATCACTAGCACACAGTCTAAGAAAAGTAAAGGAATGTCTTCAGCATAAAGGATAATGATCCCAGATGAAAGCACATGACTCCATGAAGGAATAAGGAGCAGAGAAAAGGGTAATCTATGTGGTTAAATATAAAGTAATACAGATAGTTTAAACAATAATATTTGGGATTTATAATGGTAGAAATTATAAGAATGGCAGAAAGGCAGAAGGAGATTAAATTGAATAAATTGTTAAAAAGTTTACATTATTTGGAAACATGACAAAAGTCCTGATTTGGGGTAAACTATAATTTGACACAACATTTTGGGACCTGACTGGATCTAATGGAAGAATAAAGAGTGCTAGAAAAAAGGTCAACATGTGAGTCAGTATAAAAGACATCTTCTGGCCAGACACGGTGGCTCACGCCTGTTTTTGTTAATATAAAATTCAGATCCAAGAAAAACTAACCTATGGTTACAGAAAGTATATACTAGTCTATACTTACTTCTGTAAGTATATACTTTTGTGAGTGTATATACTTCTGTAAGACTAGTATATACTTTAGTGAGTGTATACTTCTGTAAGTATAGATTAGTATATACTTTTGTGTAAAAGACTAGTATATACTTTTGTGAGTGGCTATCAATTTGAGGTTTAAAGGAGGGAGCCTTTTGGGTTTTGATTTGAGTATTATTACATTGTCATATAAGTTAAATTGTATCAAGTTTTATACTAATTTGTGTATTTTATTGTATATGTATCATACCTTCAGAAATACAAAAGAATTTTTTTTTTTTGAGACTGAGTTTGCCCTTTTCTCCCAGGCTGGAATGAAGTGGGGCGATCTTGGCTCACTGCAACCTCCACCTCTGTGGTTCAAGTGATTTTCCTGCCTCAGCCTCCCAAATAGCTGGGATTACAGGTGTGTGCCACCACACCTGGCTAATTTTTATATTTTTAGTAGAGACAGGGTGTCTCCATGTTGACTAGGCTGGTCTCGAACTCCTGACCTCAGGTTATCCACCCACCTTGGGCACCCAGTGTGCTCAGATTACAGGCGTGAGCCTCTGGGCCTGGGCTTTTTTTTTTTTTTTTTTTTTTTTTTTTTTTTTTTTTTTTTTTGGAGACAGAGTCTCGCTCTGTTGCGCAAGCTGGAGTGCAGTGGTGCAGTCTCAACTCCCTGCAACCTGTGCCTCCTGTGTTCAACCGTTTCTCCTGCCTCAGTCTCACAAGTAGCTGGGACTACAGGCACGTGCCACCACGCCCAGCTAATTTTTGTATTTTTAGTAGAGATGGGGTTTCACCATGTTGGTCAGGCTGGTCTCAAACTCCTGACCTCAGGTGATCCTCCTGCTTCAGCCTCCCAAAGTCCTAGGATTACAGGCATGAGCCACCACACCCAGCTTTTTTGTATTTGTATTTGTATTTTTTTAAAGAGAGGACATCTCACTGTGTTGTCCTGGTTGGTCTTGAACTCCTGAGCTCCAGTGATCCACCTTTTTTGACCTTCCAGAGTGCTAGGAATACAAACATGAGCCACCAGGCCCAGCCTAATAAAAAAAAAAATTTTTTTTTAATCATATGGAAGCTTCAGCAATCATTTTGTGGGCTCTGATGAGGCTTATGTTGTAGAGCCAGTTGTTATCAAGAGAGGAAACAGGCTGGGCATGGTGAAACCCCGTCTCTACTAAAAAAAAAAAAAATACAAAAACTAGCCAGACATGGTGGCGGGCGCCTGTAATTCCAGCTACTCAGGAGGCTGAAGCTCAAGAGTTGCTTGAACCCAGGAGGAAGAGGTTGCAGTGAGCTGAGATCACGCTAGTGCACTCCAGCCTGGGTGACAGAGCAAGATTCCATCTTTAAAAAAAAAAAAAAAAAAGAAGAGGAAGAAACATTGACTTAAGTCTGTGGGGCAGAAAAAATTCTTTCTACACTTTGTGGCTGAGAAGTGGAGAGATGGTTGTTGAGGACCTTCCCTATAAATAAATGTCTGGGTCTAGGTTGTAGAGATCTTCCTTATGTTTGCTCAGGTTTTGTTTCTTCAGAATTTAGATTAGATGTTAATGAATTTTGTTCTTCTTGGTGCTCCAAATCTGATTGGTGATTACCTCTGATTTTGGTTTTTTAAAAGAACCTTTGGTTATCTTAAAGTAATCCTTGGGGATCTCAGCTGTATATTCTGTGTTATAGATACAGGCATCTTTTCTTTCTCACAAAGCCATACTGTAGGAGTTTAATTATTAATTCTGCAATGCTTAGGTCAACTGTTTTTATTCTTTAGTTAAAAGACTACTTATTTTTGATGTATTATTTGTTTTTTCTTTTTTTTTTTTTTTTTTTTTTTTTTTGAGACAGAGTCTCGCGCTGTCACCCAGGCTGGAGTGCAGTGGCCGGATCTCAGCTCACTGCAAGCTCCGCCTCCCGGGTTCACGCCATTCTCCTGCCTCAGCCTCCCGAGTAGCTGGGACTACAGGCGTCCGCCACCTCGGCCAGCTAGTTTTTTGTATTTTTTAGTAGAGACGGGGTTTCACCGTGTTATGGTCTCGATCTCCTGACCTCGTGATCCGCCCGTCTCGGCCTCCCAAAGTGCTGGGATTACAGGCTTGGGCCACCGCGCCCGGCCCTGTTTTTTCTTTTTGCAAGTGAACAGGGTGTGTCAGAATGCTGTGAATTGAATGCCCCAGAGATGTAGCAAATCAGGGTTTAATTTTGTTGTTGTTGTTTTATTTTTGTTTTTTCTTTCTTCCTTCATACAGAATTTAATTTTTTCATGCAGTGTGTAGCACTATTGCACTAAGAGATTTAATTATCTAAACTGAGAAACTATTGACATATACAGGAAAATCACGGATTGTAGAAATGTTTATTTATTAAATGGTAATCTCTCAAAATAGAGTTTTGAGAGAGGGAAATACGTTAGAATGTATATTTTGAATTAGTAATGTTTATAGCTGCATGATAATATCAGCTATACTACAAGTCTCCTGAAGATGAGTGAATGCAGCAGGGTATGCAGATCAAGAAATAAAAATTAATCGATTAAATTGTAGTTTTTACACAAGCCAGTCTCACTTTTCTTATACTCACATTGTCACATGAATCATAAACTATAAGGGACTCACATGGAAAAGGTGATTTTGAGTTTATGGACTCACTTGGAGGTTCTTTTATATTTGAGAGGTGTTTTAAAATGAGATAGTATAGACTTACTGCAGTTGGAATCAAGAACCTGTCAGTGTTTTATGTCTGTAGTACATCTGATCCTTGAATCCTGGAAGAAGTACTGTCTTTTTTTTTTTTTTTTTTTTGAGACGGAGTCTCGCTCTGTCCCCGGGCTGGAGTGCAGTGGCCGGATCTCAGCTCACTGCAAGCTCCGCCTCCCGGGTTTACGCCATTCTCCTGCTTCAGCCTCCCGAGTAGCTGGGACTACAGGCGCCTGCCACGTCGCCCGGCTAGCTTTTTGTATTTTTTTTAGTAGAGACGGGGTTTCACCCTGTTAGCCAGGATGGTCTCGATCTCCTGACCTCGTGATCCGCCCGTCTCGGCCTCCCAAAGTGCTGGGATTACAGGCTTGAGCCACCGCGCCCGGCCAGTACTGTCTTTAAGTTATTACCAAGATGTGTGTTATGTTTGTGTATTACAGCTGATTTATGGTATGCAGTAAATTAATATGCCTTTTTAGCTTGCTAAAGATACTGTTAAGTATCAAAATAATAGAAATAACATATCCAAATAGTTATGGGTCCTTGTTTGACAGCAGGAAGTCTTTTTTGGTTTTTGTTTTTGTGTTTTTTTGAGATGGAGTCTCGCTCTGTTGCCAAGGCTGGAGTGCAGTGGCGCGATCTTGGCTCACTGCAACCTCTGCCTCCTGGGTTCTCCTGCCTCAGTCACCGGAGCAGCTGGGACTATAGGCAAGAGCCACCACACCCGACTAATTTTTGTATTTTTAGTAGAGATGGGGTTTCATGGTGTTGGCCTGGCTGGTCTAGAACTCTGACCTCAAGTGATCCACCCACCTTGCCCTCCCAAATGCTGGGATTACAGGCGTGAGCCACTGTGGCCAGCCAGTCTTTGAAATAAGCCAGCATTTCTTTTAGAAGTTTAGGCTCCTTAAAGTGTTTTATTCCTGTTAGTCAAAGACTTACGTTGATAGTTTGTATAGCACAGTCACCTGAGCGTGGAAAGTAATTCTACTGAGCTCCATATTCAACTTTAAAAATGAGCAAAAAATTTCTGATTTTGTTTCCTTAGAGTAAAGGTGCTAGTGCTGGAAGAGAATGGACTGAACAGGAGACCCTTCTACTCCTGGAGGTAAGCAGATTAATGCATATGGGATGTGTGCTAAGATTCTATGACTAGCATTTTATTCTGTTTTGTTTTATTTGGAGGCAGGGTCTTGCTCTGTCACCCAGGCTGGAGTGCAGTGGCCTGATCATGGCTCAGTGCAGCCTCTACCTCCCAGGCTCAGGCGATCCTCTTACCTTTAGTCCTGAATAGCTGGGACTACAGGCATGTGCCACCATGCCTGGCTAATTTTTGTATTTTTTGTAGCAGTGGGCTTTCACCATGTTGTCCAGCTGGTCTCAAACTCCTGGACTCAAGTAATCCTTCCACCTTGGCCTCCCAAAGTTCTGGAACTAAGGCATGAACCACTGTGCCTGGCCTGTGACTAGCATTTTAAATTCACCTTTAGTATTCTGTTTTAAAAAGTGTCCACTGGAGCTCAAAACTCAATCACACATGTGTTTTCCTTTAGAACAGCCATCATGCTTTGATAGTTGATACTTAAATCCTTTTCTGTATCTCCCATTGATAGTACAGAATTTTAAAACCGTGGAGTTAGATATTTAGACGATTAAATTGATAATTTTTATAGATTCATCGAGGATGTTTAAGTGAAGCTAATTCATAATTGTCACACACTCACAACAAAATAAGTTGTGAGTGTGTGACAATTAGGAATAAAGTGACTACTAAGACAATTGGTTTCATTGCCTGGATTTATGCTAAGATGTTGCCGCTCCTTTTGCACCATGAATGCAGATGTCGACATAATGAAAAAGACAGTAGTAGTGCCTTAGTATTATCAAGGAAATTGTTTGACATCACAGTCCTAAAAGAGCCTGGTGCCCTCTGGGTTCCCAGACCACGTAGAGTGGACTTGGTGACATTTTGGTTGCTGTACTGCTTTGATTTGGTTTTTCAGGTTGTTCCAATTGTTGTAATTACTGTAGAAGTATCCTTGGTGCATCAAACTATTTTCATTTCTTTTTTGCATTCCTCTTTTACTTTTTCTTGCTGTTTTCTCCTTCTCCCCCAAACCTTGTCTTTCTCTGTTGTGATCAAAATCAAAACGATCCCTAGTTGTGTGTTCTTTTGCCTCTACTTTAATATGTTCTCATATGCCCATTCAGTATCAGTGATATGCAGAGAGCTTTGCTGACTCACTTTTTTCTTATTTATTTAACTATCTTTCCTATGGTACTGACTGACTCACTTTTAATTTCAGGACTATTTTGTATAGCCATATCTACTAGATTTTAATATTAATTAAAATGAATCGTGTTTTCAGTACTTGTGGGTGACTGTAAACACACTTCTGTATTGCTATTTTGGAATCTTTGGGCTCTGGAGAGAAAGTAAGTTATATAACAATGACTAGGACAACAATTGTTCTTTTTCATGCTGCACATTGACGCTGAAACTTTTCTCCTTTTTCACATTTAAGATTAGTAGGTAGTAAAAGTGAGGTAAGAATAACTGAACTACTGTTTAAAGACATCCGGTGGGGTGGCTCACGCCTGTAATCCCAGCACTTTGGGAGGTCAAGGCGGGCGAATCACGAGGTCAGGAGATCGAGACCATCCTGGCTAACACAGTGAAACTCCGTCTCTACTAAAAATACAAAAAATTAGCCAGGCGTGGTGGCAGGCGCCTGTAGTCTCAGCTACTTGGGAGGCTGAGGCAGGAGAATGGCGTGAACCCGGGAGGCGGAGCTTGCAGTGAGCAGAGATCACGCCACTGCACTGCAGCCTGGGCAACGAAGCGAGACTCCGTCTCAAAAAAAAATAAAAAACAAAACATCCAAGAAAACCACAGTATTCTTACACAATAGTGCATTTTCTCTCTTGCAGGTGGAATCTGTGCAGTGTTTGATTTTTCTTTTAAACTTGCAATTCAGTCAACAGTAATTGTTTGCGATTACACAAAGAGAAATAAAAGACTTCTCCACATCAGTGTTTACCTCTAACATCTTCCATTTATATAGTTTATTTAGAGATACTCAATAGCTTAAGAATATGAAGTCACATGAGTATTTTTAAATGGATTTATAATCAAATATCGTCTCTTTCTAATACGTTGATAAATCTGGTAGACTCAGTGGGGTTTGCTGTTTTCAAAATAGCTTCGTACTTTTTTTTTTTTCCCCCCAGACAGGGTTTTACTCCCTTCCCCCATGCTAGTGTGCAGTAGCACAATCTCAGTCCACTGCAGCCTCAATTTGCCGAGCTCAGGCGATCCTCCCAGCTCAGCCTCTCGAGTAGCTGGGACTACAGGTGTGCACCACCATGCCTGGCTAGTTTTTTTGTATTTTTAATAGAGATGGGGTTTCAGCATGTTGCTCAGGCTGGCATACTATTTTATTAAACAAATATACCACACAGGAAGCATTCCAAATATTTTTTGTATTCTTGAGCCCACCGCTTTGATTTTTAAAAGACCTTGTTTCATAAAGTCTTTTATCAAAGCACAGTTTTTGAGTAAATGCTAAAGGTTAATATCTGGTCATGTTCATTTCTTTGTTATCTTATTGTAAATATTGGAGGCAACATTTCAGTTTTGGAAATAGTCAAAGTGGAATGTATACAATAGATGAAGGAATGCAGTTTGAAAAAGAAAGATCTTTAATTGGTAGAAATGAAGGATAATGTAAGATTTTATATTAACTTTTTAAAAAGAAATTACTCTGTAAGATCGAGATGACGACAGCTTGTTTGAATAAGACTTCAGTTGTAAAAAGGTATGGGGAATTTCTACTTGAAAATGTGTCATTAGAATGAGTAGGCATATAAAGTCTGAAGTTTGAGGTGAAAAAACAAAATAGCACAACAACAAAAAGAAGCTACAAAAGACCACCACAGTCTTTATGGAAGTTTGAAATTCTGTTGTTAGAATCAGGGCATCAGAAGGAAAGAGAGATAATGGAGCCACTCTATTCCACAGTGATTAAGGCGATCAAAAATTTTTTTTCAAATTAATATATATGTACATACATATCTATATATTTTTACACATACTTATTTAATATAGAGGCAGGGTTTTGCTACGCTGCCCAAGCTGGTCTTGAACTCCAGGTCTCTAGTGATCCTCCTGCCTCAGCCTCCCAAAGTGCTTGGATTACAGATGTAAGCCACTGTGCTGGGTACACAGTTTCTTTTTTCTTTGAGACGGAGTCTCACTCTGTCTTCCAGGCTGGAGTGCAGTGGTATGATCTCGGCTCACTGCAACCTCTGCCTCCTGGGATCATGCGATTCTCCTGCCTCAGCCTCCCCAGTAGCTGGGACTACAGACACGTACCACCACGCCCAGCTAATTTTTGTTATTTTCACAAGACACAGGGTTTCACCATGTTGGCCAGGATGGTCTCGATCTCTTGACTTCGTGATCTGCCCGCCTCAGACTCCCAAAGTGCTGGGATTACAGGCACAAGCCACCGCGCCTGGCCTTCACAGTTTCTTTTAAGTCCACAACTGATTGCACTATTCTTCCTGTTCATTTGTAATTATTCCTGGGCTTTAAAGTGACAAGACTTGAATTTGTAAGCTCACTGATTCTCCCTTGATAACTCTAGTGTTTGTCATGTATGCTTTGCTTTCTCATGCTATTTATTTTCCCTTAGATAATTAATAGACATAAAGGCTATACCTGGAAATAAAACTTATAATTTATTAACATTTATGTATCACTATAAGAGTTTTTCTCTTTTTTCTTTTTTGAAACGGAGTCTCACTCTGTCACCCAGGCTGGAGTGCAGTGGCATGATCTTGGCTCACTGCAAGCTCTGCCTCCTGGGTTCACCCTGTTCTCCTGTCTCAGCCTCCCAAGTAGCTGGGACTACAGGTGCCCGCCACCAAGCCCGGCTACTTTTTTTGTAGTTTTAGTAGAGACAGGGTTTCACCATGTTAGCCAGGATGGTCTTGATCTCCTGACCTTGTTATCGTCCCGCCTCGGCCTCCCAGAGTGCTGGGATTACAGGCGTGAGCCACCGCGCCCAGCCTTTTCTCATTTTTTTATGCCAGCTAAATTACAGGAAACATAGCATTAGAAGATATTTAGTAACCAACATGCAAGATTTCCTCACAGTGTGCATGCACTTACATACTTTTTCTTGATACGCAACCCAGGAAATATTTCATTCTATGTACTTTTGAACTACACTAAGAGGAATAGTAAATCTTCTATTAAAAAACTTTTCTTAAGGACAGAGATGTTCAATCTTTTGGCTTCCCTGGGCCACACTGGAAGAACCGTCTTGGACCACACATAAAATACACTAACACTAACAATAGCTGATGAGCTTAAAAGAAAAAAATCCCCCAGAAAATCTCATAGTGTTTTAAGAAAGTTTATGAATTTGTATGGGTCACATTCAGCGCCATCCTGGGCCACATGCGGGCTGCAGGCCGCAGGTTGGATAAGCTTGGTTTAGGAGAAGCCTTTTTTTTTTTTTTTTAATTAAAAAATAGTCAGCCTTTTTACATTTGAGAGCCTTAGCAAAGTCAGATTTCTTTTTTGGTTTAGTTCAGTTTCCTGTGGTTTGAGTTCAGTAAACTTTATTAGGTATTGTGTGTCGGACACTATGACAGACACTGCATGTTGAGATCTATAGGACATAGTCTGTACCTTTAAGGAATTCATAGTCTACTAGGTGACAGAGAAAGATAAAACACAAAGCTTGAATGCAGAATTCCCAACTTTATGATTAGAGGTATGTCCGGAGCACAAGAGCTGTACAGAGGAGTTGCTTTGCAAACAGACCAGGTAGATAAGACAATGAGCAGCCTTCTGGGAATGGTATAGCTGTGTTGGTCCTAAAACATGATGTTTCCAGTGCAGAACAAATGGTTCATAGGCACAATACCTAGTAGGAATATATCAGTGGGACCTGTGTATTCTTGAAACAAAAAGAGTAGGGAATAGGGTGGGAGAAGCAGGCAGTGTCCTGATCATGTTTGGCTTAGTTTCATAAGATAATGACACATAATGAAATAGTTTTAGGCAGGAGAGAAAGAGTGTTTTACATAAAACATATTTCACTCTAGCAGCTTGGAGAAGGATGAAATTAAAGTATAAAAAGGTAATTATAAGAATCAATTTATGAGGCCGAGATGGAAGGATCACTTGAGGCCAGAAGTTGGACAGCAGCCTGGGCAATATAGCAAGACCGTGTCTCTAAAAAAAAAAAGAGAGAGAGAGAGAGAGAGAGAACGTATCCAGGTTGAGTGATGATGAAGACCTGAACCTGGGTTATGGCAGGATGAATAAAGCTGTTTTGTAGTATTATAAGATACTTACTAAAAACCTTTAATTGAATGAATGAAGCTGTTTTGTAGTATTATAAGATACTTACTAAAAACCTTTAATTGAACCTTTAATTGAATCATTCTCCTTCCTGGCCAGTGTATTCTCTTTTCAAAACATCTCTTTATTTTCCTCTCTTACTAACATTACTCTCAGTTCCCAGGCTCAGACATTTACTGATTCTCCACTCTGTGCTCTTCTGGATGCTGATTCTTGCTTGGATTTTGTATCTCAGAAGGTTCCCCAACTCCACCTTTATTCTGGAAAAAAAACTTGAACTTTCTTATTGTTCCCTGGCGAAAGGAACATGAAAAAATATTTTTAAAATAAAAACTTCATTGGAAAAGGGCGTGATAGAGCATGCCTAGAAAATCCCTATTTATAATTAGAAACATAATACAGCCCCAGTAGATATATTTCTACTTCCATGGACCTGCGTGAGATAGATTTATTTTTCTTTTTTCTTACAATCTGGGTCTTTCAAAAAGTAATTCCTTCTGAAACTACCTGAGGTTACTGAATATCCAGAGGTCACTGAATATCCAGAGGAAACCTAGAATTAGCCTAGTGTTTCAAGGGATTTAATGACTCAGACCGTTTGCTGGCTTGGGTTTTGAGAAGTCCTATATTATTCCAGCAGAAATGAAAGCCTGAGCAGCAGTTGGAACCCAGAGTTAAGAATTAATTGATGGCCAGGCACAGTATTTCACACCTGTAATCTCAGCACTTTGGGAGGCTGAGGTGGGAAGATTGTTTGAATTCAGAAGTCCGTGACCATCCTGGGCAATATAGTGAGAACCCATGTCTAAAAATTAAAAAATAACAAACAAACTTTGAAGTAAAATAATTAACTGAAAAAGTAAAACATGGAGACAACTATTGTTATAGAAAGCTCAATCTCACAGTGTAGATCAGCAAATTAGGCTCTAATGCAAGGTTTTTCAGTTGGAGCATTCAATATTGACATTTGGGCTAGTTTTTTTGTTGTTGGAGTGGAGGGTTCATATATGTTTTACAGCATATATGGCCCCTCCTTGTTCTTAGATACCAGCAGCACTTCCCCAGTTGGGTCCACCAGAATGTTTGCAGACATTGCCAATGTCCTCAAGGGGGCAAAAATTACTCTTCATTGAGAACCATGGTCCTGGAGAGAATGGTGTTAGAGTAGCAACTTCAGTATGCCACTAAATAAATTCTTGTTATCCAATTAATTCCTCAACTTTCTTAGCACCACATAGTTGTGGTTTTCTTTCTACTGTTCTATCCATTTTTCCCTTGGAGACTCCTTTTAAACTTTTTGTTGGTTTCTTTCAGGATTTTCTCTGAAAAAATAATAAATTATACAACTAGAAATGTATGTAGTTTATAAATTTTAGAATCAGTTTATCAATTTCTACTAAAAAGAAGCCTACTTGGAGTTTGACTGGAATTGTATTGAATCTAAAGTTCTACTTGGAAATAATTGACATCTTAATACTGAGACTTCTGGTGAATGAACACAATATATCTCTTCGTTATTTTATTTGGGTCTTTTAGTTCTCTCATGTTTTACTCATTCCAGTCTGTTACTCTTATACATTCTTTATTATGTTTATTCCTCCTCCTAAGTATTTAATTATGCTATTTAAGACAGGGTCTTGCTGTGTTTGTCAGGCTAGCCTTGAACTCCTGGGCTGAAGAGATCCTCTCGCCTGAGCCCCCTGAGTAGCTGGGACTACAGATGTGTGCCCCCACACCCAGTTTTTATATTACTTTAAATACTTTTTTTCTTCATGTTTAAAATTTTTCATTGCTATTATATATGGATATATAGTTGAGTTTATTGCCCTTCTATCCTTTGACTTTGCTCAGCTGTTTAGTTTTAGTACTTTTTTTTATAGCTTCCTTGGAATTTTCTATATAAACAGTCATGTCTCTCTATATTAGTAAAAATATCAGCCCTTCCTCCCTCCCTCCCTCCCTTCCTTCCCTGTTTTCTTTCTTTCTATCACTCTTGCCGCCCAGGCTGGAGTGCAGTGATGCAATCTCGGCTCACTGCAACCTCTGCCTCCTGGGTTCAAGCGATTCTTGCACCTCAGCCTCCTGAGTAGCTGGGAATACAGGCACACACCACCATGCCCGGCTAATTTTTGTATTTTTAGTAGAGAGGGAGTTTCACCATGTCATTGGCCAGGCTGATCTCGAACTCCTGACCTCAGGTGATCTGCCTCCGAAAGTGCTGGGATTACAGGCGTGAGCCACCATGCTTGGAATACTTCTTTCTTTATAGTATGCATGTCTTTTATTTATTTTTCTTGCCTGATTGAAAATAATATAAAGAAAGCCATCAAATCTTTCTATTTATGCTTAACTATTTGCATTAATTTTTTTTTTTAAAAGCTATATAAAGAACTTCTAATATTACACATTACTTTCTTGTTACTGGACATTAAAGCATCTGTTTTTTCTGTTTTAGGCCCTGGAGATGTATAAGGATGATTGGAACAAAGTGTCGGAACATGTTGGAAGTCGTACTCAGGATGAATGCATCCTCCACTTTTTGAGACTTCCCATTGAGGACCCATACCTTGAGAATTCAGATGCTTCCCTTGGGCCTTTGGCTTACCAGCCTGTCCCCTTTAGTCAGTCAGGAAATCCAGTCATGAGTACTGTTGCTTTTTTGGCATCTGTGGTGGACCCTCGCGTGGCATCTGCTGCAGCAAAAGCGGCTTTGGGTACGGACTTCCCTAAACCATCTCCTCAACAGAAAAACTCAGTTTATCTCAATTTGAATATTACCAGCCATTACATTCATTTCTTTTAATGTAAATAACAAAAATCAGATATTACCTGTGAAAGATACCATATTCTTTGTGGAAGTATTACAAAATTTTTAAGTAATGCGTCTTAAAATTAAGAGCTTTAGGAATTGGAGGGACAGAGGTTTTTTATTGTATATTTTGTGATTAATTTATAATTTGGTATAACTAGCAAAGGAAGTCATTTGATATTCATGGGTTACACATTAATTATAACTAGAACTTCGTCACATCATAGAACTCTTTCTTGGTTTTATGGGTGTTTAATCCTTGCTGTTTTTGTTTTTTTGATTTATTAATCTAGTAAGCAAAGTTAAAATATGGACAGCAGTTTTGATTATTGCTGGTATGAGTTGAAAGATCTCTTATATCAAGGCTCTGTGATGTGTAGGATAAAATGTAGAGCCATAGAATTTCATTATTATTTTTTTAAATCTCATTTAGTCCTCTCATTTTGCTGGTGTAGAGGGACTGAGAGCCTGAAGAGGTTGCTACACCTAAGACAATAATATTGTGTTGGGTTTCCCGATGGTGGTTTTACACTGAAGCAAATTTTTGTGCAAAGTTAGATTGCTGTTCCATTTTTATTCTTGAACCAGAGGAGTTTTCTCGGGTCCGGGAGGAGGTACCGCTGGAATTGGTTGAAGCTCATGTCAAGAAAGTACAAGAAGCAGCACGAGCCTCTGGGAAAGTGGATCCCACCTACGGCCTGGAGAGCAGCTGCATTGCGGGCACAGGGCCCGATGAGCCAGAGAAGCTTGGTGAGTCACTGCTGCTTTCAAGGGACAGGGTTAATATATGTTTGTATTCCTGTCAGCTTACTCAAGTAATTGGGTTTACCTGCACTAAAAAGTGAGTACAATGATCAGTATAAACTTGTCTTTTAAGATTAGTACATGATTTGTTTTCTCTTGTCTGTTTCTTTTGGTAGCTAGAACTAAAAAAATTGTCTTGTAATTGTTAATGGTATTACAGTTGTGAATTATCTGGTTACTGTTTGTAGATCCAGGTTTTGAATAGACAGATAGAAGAATACTGAAAGATGGATGGAACTGTAGGTGAAAAAAAAGAAATGACTTATGATTATGTTAATTTATATGTTGCTGAATGGGTTTCAGTTCATTGTTTTGTGGGTTTTCTTAGCTGAGGAGAAAATCCTGTAACATAAAATTCCTCATTTTAACTGCTTAAAAGTATAATAGCTTCTGCTCTATTTACAATGCTGTGTGTCTATCACCACTATCTAATTCCAGAACATTTTCCTCATCCCAACAGGAAATCACATACTTATTAAGCGGTCACTCCCCAGTCCTTTTGCTCTTCAGCTGTGGTACCCACTAACAATCTGCTTTCTGTGTCTATGGGTTTGCCTATTCTGGACATTTAATATAAACAGAATCATGTAATATGTGGCCTTTTGTGTCTGCTTCTTTGACTTAGCATGTTTTCAAGGTTCATCCATGTTGTAGCATCCATCAGTACCTCATTCTTGTCAGTGCTGACTATTTCTTTGGGTGGATATAACCAATTATATTTATCTGTCATATACCCAATTATATTTATCTGTCAATTCATGGACATTTTGTTTCCACTTTTACACTACTATGAAAAATGCTGCTATGAACACTTATATACAAGCTTTTTTGTGAACAGAGGGTTTTCACTTCTTTTGATTGGGTATATACCTAGGGGTAGAATTGCTGAGTTACATGGTAATTTTGTTTACCTTTTTGAGAAACTGCCAGCCTGTTTTTCATAGTGGCTATACCATTTTATGTTCCTACCCATAATGTATGACATTTCTAAGTTCTTCACATCCTTGTCAATACTTATTTTTCTATTTTTACCTTTAATAGCCAGTCTAGTGGTTTGATGTTGGGGTTTGTATTTGCATTGATGATTAATAATCTTGAATATCATGTGTTTATTGGCCATTTTTATGTCTTCTTTGGGAAATACCTACTCAGATTCATGGCCCACCTCCCCGTTTTTTTTTTTTTCTTAGTAGACTTTATGTTTTAGAGCAGTTTTAGGTTCATAGCAAAATTTGGTAGACATTACGGAGTTCCTGCATACCACCTGACTACCCCCCACATGCACAGTTTCCCCCACGACGATCAATATCCCATACCAGAGTGGTACATTTGTTGATAAACCTACTTTAACACATCATCATCAACTGCAGTCCAAAGTTTTAGTTTATTCTGTAATTGATTCTCACATGTTGAACCACCCTACCTTTTTTTTGTTGTTGTTTTTTGGTTTTTATTTTGATAAATCCAACTTGGCCTTTGTAAATAATCCATTTAACATGCTATCAGATTCAGTTTGCTAGTGTTTTGTTGAAGATTTTTGCATCTGTATTCATAGATTGTTTGTAGTTTTTTTTTCTGTGATATCTTTGTCTAGTTTTGGTATTAAGGTAATACCAGCCTCAAAGAATAAGTTAGGAATTGTTCTTTTTTTTTTTTTTTTTTTAAGAAAAGTTTGAGGAGCTTTGGAGTTAATTCTTCTTTAAGCATTTGGTAATATTTACTGGTAAAGCCATCACATCCTGGGCTTTTCTTACTTTCTTGATTACCGATTCTGTCTCTCTTTTTCTTTTTTTTCTTTTCTTTTCTTTTTTTTTTTTTTTGAGACGGTGTCTCACTCTGTCACCCAGATTGGAGTGCAGTGGTGTGGTCTTGGCTCACTGCAACCTCTGCCTCCTGGGTTCAAGCAATTCTTCCGCCTCAGCCCCTGCAGTAGCTGGGACTACAGGTGCGTGCCACCACACCTGGCTAATTTTTGTATTTTAGTAGAGACGGGGTTTCACTGTGTTGGCCAGGCTGGTCTTGATCTCCTGATCTTGTGAACCACCCGCCTCGGCCTCCCAAAGTGTTGGGATTACCGGTGTGAGCCACCGCACCCAGCCCTGATTCTGTCTCTTAACTCGTTATAATTCTACTGAGATTTAAACATTTCTTAATGAGTCAGTTTTGGTAGTTTGTGTCTTATAGGAATTTATTCGTTTCGTGTAGACTATCTAATTTGTTGGCAAAAAACTTATAACAACAAAAAGGGGAAACAACTGGAATGTCCATCATCTGATGTGTGATAAGCAAAATGTAGTATATCCATACAATGGAATGTTACTTGGCTATAAAAAGGAATGAAGTATTGACATATGCCACATCATGGATGAATTTGGAAACATTTGGTAAGTGAAAAGCCAGTGAAAATAGCCAATATACTATATGATTGCATTTATAAGAAAAGTCCTGAAGAGGGAAATCTATAAAAACAAAGTAGATTAATGGTTGCTCTGCATAGGTGGAATGGAGGATTTGGGGTTGATTGCGAAAGGATACCTCTTTGAAGTAATGAAAATGTTTTAAATTTTACCATAGGGATGGTTGCACGTATCTGTTGATATGCTAAATTTCATTGAATTGTACTCCTTCAATGGGTGAATTTTATATTATGTGAATTACATCTCAATAAATTGGTGAATTCTATATTATGTGAATTATATCTCAAAGCTATCTTTTTAAGTTCATAGTGTTCTCTCATAACTGTCAATAGTAATGTCCTCATTTTCATTACTGATTATAGTAATTTCATCCACTTGCTTTTCTTGTTTTAAAGTCAGTCCAGGTAAAGGCTTGTCAATTTTGTCTCTTCAAAGAACCAGCTTTTTTGTTTCATTGATTCTTTGTTTTTCTGTTCTATAATTTCTCTCCACTCTAATCTTCATTTTTTCCTTCTGCTTGCTTTGGGTTAAATTTGCTTTTTTTTCCTAGTTGTTTTAAGATAGTGTATGTTATTTGAGATCTTATTTAGTAATGTAGGTGTTTACAGCTCTATGAATTTCCCTCAGTACTGCTTTTGTGACATTCCATAAGTTTTGATATATTTATTTATGTTTCTGTTCTTCTCAAAGTACTTTGTAATTTTTTCTTTTCTTTTCTTTTCTTTCTTTCTTTCTTTCTTTTTTTTTGAGATGAAGTTTCACACTTGTTGCCCAGGCTGAAGTGCAGTGGTGCGATCTTGGCTCACTGCAACCTCTGCCTCCTGGGTTCAAGCCATTCTCTTGCCTCAGCCTCCTGTAATCCCAAGTACCTGGGATTACAGGCACCCACCACCACTCCTGGCTTATTTTTTTTTGTTGTATGTGTGGTTTTTTTTTTTGTTTGTTTTGTTTTTTTAAGTAGAGATGGGATTTCACTATGTTGGCCAGGCTCATCTCGAACTCCTGACCTCAGGTGATCCACCTGCCTTGGCCTCCCAAAGTGCTGGGATTACAGGCATGAGCCACTGAGCCCAGCCCCTGTACTTTGTAATTTCTGTTGTGATTTCTTCTTTGACTCATTGGCTATTTAAGAGGATGTTATTGTGAATTTTCATAAATATGTAAACTTTAAAGATTTTCTTCTTTTACTGATTTTTAGTTACATTTCATTGTAATCAGAGAAGGTAATTTGTGTGATTTCCGTATTTTTAAATTAAGACTTGTTTTGTTGCCTAACATGTGGTCTATTCCAGACAACGTTCTTTGTGCATTTGAGAAAAATAAGTTTTCTGTTCTTATTGGATAGGGTCGTTCAAGTTGTCTACTTCCTTGTTTATCTTTTGCATAGTTCTCTCCTTCATTGAAAGTGGGGTATTGAAATCTCCAACTATTATTGTTGAATTATTCCTTCAGTTCTGTTTTTGCTTTATATATTTAGAGACTCTGTTGTTGCTTATATGTTTATAATTGTTACATCTTTTTGTTGTATTGAACCTTTTATCTTTATAAAATGTCCTTTTTGTCTTATATAACATTTTGTGTCTTAAAGTCTATCTTATATTAGTATACTATTTCAGATGCTGTTAGGTTTCTGTTTACTTTTTTTGTTGTTGTTGAGATGGAGTCTGCCTCTGTTGCCCAGGCTAGAGTTTAGTGGCATGATCTTGGCTTACTGCAACCTCAGCCTCCACCTCCTGAACTCATGTGATCCTCCTGCCTTAGCCTCTCGGGTAGCTGGGACTACAGGCACATACCGCTGTGCCCTGCTAATTTTTGTATTTTTAGTAGAGACGGGGTTTCACCATATTTCCCAGGCTGGTCTCGAACTCCTTGGCTCAAGTGATCCACCCACGTCTGCCTCCTAAAGTGCTGGGATTACAGGTGTGAGCCACGGGGCAGGGCCTGGTTTCTGTTTACACTGAATCACTTTTCTGTCTTGTTACTTTCAGTCTCTTTGTTTCTTGGTATCAAAAGTGATTCTTACAGACTGCATTAACATCATTGTATTTGAGAAGTTGAAACTTAGATTCTACCTTTGTTTCTACCCTTCATAGCCATAGGACTTTCAAAAGCAGTTTACCTTTGCTGGTTAGCTCTGAATTGTCTCATCTGTAGAAAAGGTATTATTAGATACTTTCTGTAATGTATCGTTTACTAGTGCTGTTTTATGATGTCAGAAAGGAGACATTTTTGCTATTAAGGACTTAATTACCTGTTTCTCTTTAATCAGTCTTAAAGAGAAGTGCACTTAATAAAGCAGCTTTATATGTAGTACAGCTTCTCAAATGGAAGTGCCCTTATATGAAAGGCTGTTTTTTTTTTGAAATGGAGTCTTTCACTGTCACCCAGGCTGGAGTGCAGTGGCGTGATCTCGGCTCACTGCAACCTCCGCCTCCCGGGTTCAAGCAATTCTCCTGCCTTCCAGTATATTCCCAGCATGTTTTACATTGTTCATTAATATTTTTCTTTTCTTTCATTGTGAAACTTTGT